AAGTCACTTATGTATTGGAAACATAATAGCCTAGTTGCAATACATGCCTGTCTGGGCAAATTAGGGTATCTGCAGTTTGAAGCGAACACTTAGCAGTTCTGCTCAGTTAACTGCTTTACAAGCAGCCCCACCACAATGCCTGTTGAACTAGTGGCCGGGTCCATAAGCATGTGAGGAACATTACAAGAGCAGAACAACCAATAATGCTGTGAACAACCCCCTGCCGCCAACAAATGCAAACCAGAGGCAACAGAAAAGCAGGAGTAAGGATGTAAATTCCAGACAGCTGTGGTCCAAAAAGAGATGAAATCACACAAGGAGAGTAGAAGAGCTAGGAGAAGACATGGCCTGAGTTTTAGAAGTGTGCATGAGAGAGTGAAAAAGAAAGCAAGAAAGTGTAGGAAATATGTTCAAAACCACAATTTCCTTTGTAAAATGCAAGTTGAGAAGGAGTGTATAATTACATAATAGGTTTGTGCACAGCTTTCCTACCGTAAATTAAAATGCTCATAGAGCAGCCAAGCATTGCACATGTAGTTTGCTACCAAGCTATGGGAGCCTATTAATTTCAGCTCGTGTAAGTGACTGAACAACTGGAATGATAAAGATAGAAGGGCCGGAAGTTAGGCAATATACTGTAACATGCAGCAAAGGAGTGGGCCAGCATTATCTCTAGCTACATCAGATTACTGAAAGTACATGTAGTACTATATACATTAGAAAAACAAATGTCTCCAACAAGGGCCAAGAACTGAATCAAATCACACTGTAGTGAGCACTCTGTTCTACATCGGAATGTTCCATGCAAAGTGAAGTTTTATAACAGCTTAATACAATCCAGTGAATTACTGTTGAGCAGGGCAGAATGCAAATATGCTTAAAATGCTTACATGTATTGTGACTTATTTACATTTCGGTAACAGAAATCGTTCTCTAAAGGATAATGTGTTTAGGGGATGGCTTCATTATTTATTGTATCAACCAGAGAAGCATATTTAGGAAAAATATACTGGTCACAGTCAAGTTTGTTAAACTTGACCCTTTAGTTCAAATCGGGGAAATCCAAGCACAAACTTAGCCATTAAATCAGTAAGAAAAAAGTGCTTAACCTGGATTGGGCCCATTTGTTTTTTTGCAGTTTCACTGCTATAGCTGCAGAAATCTTTTATTTATTTATTTGTTGAATTTATATCCTGCCCCTTTCCTCCTGATATTTTAATAATACCAGAATATACTATTTTTTAAAAATCCAATCTGTCTTAGATACTCAGGATAATTTTTTTTAATTAACAATGCATATTCTGAATATAGCATTTGGTGCTAAACTAATGTAAGGAGGAATGTTACTGCAATGCAACAAATGGATCAAAGCTATGATAGCCAATCTAATTTTTTTTCATGATTATCCAATATGATGTGCCAGATGAATAGTTCTTTATGGAAACATAAAAATACTATCAAACATTCATACCAGAAAATAAATACCAGTGCAATTTAAGCAATGCCATCGTGATATTAACTAAGTAATAAGGGGATCCATTTTGTGCAAAATGGCAGGGCCATATTCAAATGACCAAGCAGCAGCTGTTTCTAGATGCTACCACACTGTAAAAGCGAAACTCTGCATTGGGCTTCCCTAAACCACAAGCGCTGCCAAGATTTCTTCTTACATACTTAGGTCCCCTTTAACATCACAAGGAGGGGGGAAACACCCTAGCAAAAAAAAAAAGTAGTAGTCTTCATGTCACACTGTACAGTGAAGAAGTCTGAGAGCACCCAAATGACAACTGTCTATTTTACATGTGAAAATAAATAATGCAGTTGTGACAGTGAAAGAAAAGACTTCGTTCTATATATTTGTATAGTACAAATATAATTAGTTATGCGTTATCCTTGTTCTCGACAGGATATCACAGACTTGGATGGACCTAGTCTGACTCCTTGCTGATGCAGGAAATCCAGTACTACCTCACACGATAAGTGGCCATTGACCTGCGCTTAAAAACTTGTAATGAAGGTGGCCTGTTCCACTCTCAAACAGTTTGCACTGTTAATAAGTTATTAATTTCTAAATTGTGCGCCCTCTTTCCATGTCAGCTTCTTACTACTCAGAAGACTGTACTGCAGTAGCAGCAGCTATTTGTTTAAATGGTGGTTGCATTAAGGTGATTGGCACGTTTGTTTTCCACAATGCAATTTTCAGCATCCCAAAATTCAGTTATCCATTCAGTAGGGAATGAGTGGTATGCAACCATTTTGGAAGGCCATGACAAGGATCGAAAGACAATGGGTGCTGTTCTGAGATGCATACCCAGGAGTATGGCATACTCCTGGACTTTCTTAATTGCCTTTCTTCAGCAGCAGCCCAAAGTGTGGCTTCCACTAGAGAACTGACCAATTGCCTTTTACTGTTGGGAAACTCGCAAGCCTATTCAAAAGTAAGACCAGTAAGACCTATTACAGGATTGCAGTCTATAGGATTGCAGTCTCAAAAGCCCTATTGCACAGCTGAACCATACTGAGCAAATAACACTGTTAAAAAAAAGCAAGATGTGAACAAGAACTGGTGATATTAGGAATCCTAGACCACAATGTCTGGAAATTAAAAGCCAGTAATTCCACACTTTTCAGTTTAAAACTAAAACCAGTAGAATAATTAAAATGGACTGTTAGCAATGGTGCCTCTTGCACAAAGTGCTCTGTAATATTCAGCAAACTATTTTTAAAAAGTGCATAAGTATATGTACTAATATTCTTAGGTCAATAATAACTGGATGTACACTGCAGAACGTGCTTTCAAATAAGATTAGAGGTGCTCTCAATAACGTATCACCTAATACTGTTATTGTTAGATCAATTATTTTCAACTATATGTAAACTTCCTGTTTCCTAAGATTACCGATATTCCCTCTGGTCTATACTCAAAACAAAAGACATACTAGATTTAAAATTAAATTATAAGATGCGTCCTATGTGGACTTTACAATGCAGTTAGAATTCAGGGGTGGGGATAAAATCTTGGTATCAACTACACTAGCAACCAAGTGAGTTTATGGCTACAATATCCAAGGAAAACTGGGAAAGACTAAGGATGGGTAACACGGTCGGGTGCTGACAACGGATGTTTCATCTTAATGCATAACCTTCGCATGAAAATAAAAGACATCTAAAGAAGCACACAGGTTTGAAGTCGCGGTTAACATTCTATCATAATTAGAAACATTTCAAGAGCCCTGTAATTTCCAATCAAAATTACAGTAATTTCCAATACACAAGCCATGATTCATGACAGAATTTTTACATTCCATGAGAGATTATAGTGGCCTGGTGTATGACACAGTGAGTATAGAGCTAACATAAACAATTCCATTTAATGTTTAAACAGCACTTGGTGTTTAGAATCCCACAATAAAAGAAACATATTATTGCAGAAATTATCACTTTGACAGTGATTGAAGGGTAGGCAGGCATGTGGCCTGTAAAGCTATAATTTTTTACAGTCCACAGCTTGAGTTTAATCATTTTGATATAACATTTCCAAAATATCCTTTTAAGTATTCCTTACAGCATATAACTTTAAAAAGAAACATCTTTTCTATATAATGCAAGATGGAGCGACTCCCAACTGCAAATATTTCCAAAGTTGAAGCTTAAATAACAAAACAAACTGCAACAACAGAGTCCAAAATACACCCCTAATACAGAGAACTTATATTATATTACTCAAGCTATAAGTGACAAACACACACCCTTTGGGTAGTTTTAAGAAGCTGATATCATGGCTAAGGATAATCTACCACTCAAATCAACTTTGTATTTAACTGCCCTGTTTTCACATATTTTCATGCATATAATCTAATTTTGGCCATGTGTTTCAAGATCTGCTAACAATAATGTACCACTATCTTCAGTGAACATACAAGAACTGAGCATGATAGCTATGTGGAGAAAAAAAATCAAACATGCCATTTCTGTTTCCAGCAGTAAATTACCTTCACTCTGCACACTGACTTTCTATTCAATGTCATTAAAAAAAGAGTGTTCATATTAAACCATTGGATATTCTATAGGTAACACTTGTATTATACTGTCACCCAACTACTGGTACTTAAAATTGAAAAGCTTGTACAACAGCATTTAAAATGGTTTCTGGGGCAGTAGCAGCAGATGCTGAGAAAGGCTCCGGTTTGGGACAGAACAGACTCTAAATGATCTGTGTCATCAGAATAAGGCAAGAAGGCAAAAAACGATACACTGAACCGAATGAGAGCCAATAAAAAATAAATTAAAAAATAAGGCAGCATAGGAAAAGGTACACACAGAATTAGAGAGGGGCAAGAAGTATAAGTATTTCTATGCAAATGATAGAAGCCTCAAGCTTAGACCGCCTGGTAATACTGACATAGTTTTGGGTAGACACTGTATACATAAGAGATACGAAGATAAGAGGAGGGGCTGATTCAAACCAGTAGTTGTACAGGGAGATAGTATGTTAAGGACTGAAAAAGAGGAAGGGCTAACAGAGGTTTGCAGATGTCAACAGTGGTGTAATAATAATGATTATGAATATAATGGTAGAGAAAACTATGGGGAAAAGAGAGGGGGGAAGATAAGAGTTAAAATTAATAAGTTAAATGGAAATAGACTATTTAGGCTATTTATGATGATCAATGTAGCAGTATATAATTTGGACCTTCAGTGTGGTTTGAGTTGTGTGACCCTGGATGGTAGCTTTCCCTCATAATACTAGGAAAAACAGATAAGGCAACATTCAAAGAAAGCTAAGCATGCTTAAGATATTGTGAATGTTAACTGTTACATTGTTATTACCCAACATGTCCATATAGCATTCTGTTTCCCCCTTTAAATGCAGGCCAAATCAACTCCATATTGGAACAAATGTTGGAAAAGCAAATGTAGCCCACTGATGCCTGATAAGGCCCTTACCTGGCTTTTAGTTGCTGCAACCTTTGCAAATAATGCTTGAGACACTTTAGCTCTCTTCATTTCCTGCTGAATCTCATCATAAATGGAAGCATTAATGTTCATAGTATTGTTTTCTGGTTTTCCATTCCTTTCTGTTGCAATAGCTGTAGTTTTTACCTGGGAAATAAGATATGAACGTCAAATTTCAAAGGATGCCCAACTGAATGGCACTACAGCTGTAACAACACACTACTTGTGTTGTGTGAGTTGCCAGCGCCTGGAACCGTTAGCACTCCCCCAAGACCCTTCCACCGGCCCAGTTTTGAATAAAGTCAATGAAATAATTATTTCAACTAGCAAGCTTGAACCTAGTAAAAGTTCCTGAGCACATGCAAAGTGCCTTTCCTTTTCATTGAGAAAGTGGGTGACCTAGGGCCAGTCACAGTTTCTCAGCCTAATCTGCCTCACAGGGTTGTTGTAAGGAGAAAATGGAGGGGAAGAACTATGTATACCACCTTGATATGTAAATCATAGAATTGGGAGGTATCCCCATCTAGTCCAAACTCCTACAATGCAAGAATCACAGCTAAAGACTCCCTGACAGATGGCCAGGTGGTTTGTGTTCTTGACTAGAAACCATCATGGGGCAGGGGCTGCTTTCACAACGCAAGGCAACATTTCATGGAGCTGACCAAATAATCCACGTCTCTGGTTTCAGCAATTGATGGGAGAGGCTGCAGAAATCTGTTAAGATGCACCATCAACCGAAACCCTCCCAGACAAGCAAGGTGAAAGTTTCTGCTCTTCGCTGCTGGGCAAACCTAGCAACTCCAGGCACCCAGACAAAACACGAGCAAATGTGTATACTCTAGGGCAATGATGGCCAAACTTGGCCCTCCAGCTGTTTTGGGACTGCAGTTCCCATCATCCCTGACCACTGGTCCTGTTAGCTAGGGATGGTGGGAGTTGTAGTCCAAAAACAGCTGGAGGGCCAAGTTTGGTCATCACTGCTCTAGGGTCATTCCTGTCTCATCGATCAGTTCTTCGTAGGAAGGTTACCTAGCAAGCCAGACACTACATTTTCTAACATGCTTCATCCAAATAATGTCAAGAGCATGAGATTCTTTTAACTGGGTATAGATAAATATAATAGTAGACAAATATTAAAAGACTCTTTGAAAACTTGGAGGGAGATGACGACGAGAGATGAGGACAAATTACTTTAGACTGCTTGGCATACCTTTATGAACTTGGGTTATAGGTTACTGGAGAAGGGTTGTTTCATTTCTCCAAACTCTTGCATAGCAGATCAGCCTCAAAAACATTTCCCTTCCTTTCTAACAGTTTCTCTTGAACCATTAAGAATATCATGGATGATTAGCCTGTTGTGCTCCGCTGAGCACTACGTATTGCTAATTAACCTTTCAGAGGCTATCTACAAAGGCTTTTCCCCCTCCAGAACTTCTATTGAAAGCATCAGTCACAATTTAACGTGTGTGATACTTTATATATATATATATATATTTAAAAGAAGTTTTTATAATACTATGTTTTCTGAAAAAGAATAATTTAGTGTTAGAGTAAGGAATGAACTCAAGACAGAGCTAAGGAAGAAAGTGGAAGCAAAAGGACATAAAACCTTCACTATGTTAAATTGGTGCACCACCAAATCCCATAAGAAGAGTTGTCATTTATACAGCATCATCAGTGCATTAAGGCACTTCACAAAATTTGAAACAAATGCCTACTAAAATCTTACACCTAAAAAATTTAATACAACTAGGCATCAACTATGCAGTTATTTGTAATGGTGACAAAACTTTGCTAACATTTCTATGAAACTGCCATGAGCCTTTATTCTCATCTGTCTAAGAAAATATAATTTCCATTCCTAGCAGCTCTTTAAAAAATATTTAGAAAAGACACATCTCCTAGCAATTCTATCTATCTTGGCTGACAATAAAAACAGGAAAATTTGGAGTCATTCATATTTCTTGAACGAAGCCCAAATTTACCCAAACAGGTAATTTAACAGCTTTTCACAAATATGGGCTTTCTCATATTTTTTCCCATGTGAAAATGAAACAAAAAACCAAACCCTTTTATATACATATTCCCATAAGTACTGTTTTAGTTTAGGAACAAAAATCTTTTTTAATCCTGGTTTAGCTTTTAATATGACATTGTACATTAAAATTCATAAAGTACTTCATTCCAGGCAAAACAAACTACTTTTCAGTTCAGTTCTTCAAATGGCACAAGAGGTATAATAAATGCAGTTGCTCTCATTCAGAATGGCTTTTTATCAGGACAAAGTTTACTACTCCATTATTACAGTGGCGCCTGGAAGCATATTTATATTTAAATGTTAGTGTTTCCATTAACTGTCCTCTCCATGGTTATTTCTCAAGGATGGAAGGTTGTATTTCATATTTTGGCCATTTCACGTGTGTCATTAAAATAAGACTTGGCACAAAGGTAGTCAATTAGAACTATTTTCTATATAGTGAACAGCCAAGCATTTAGATTTCAAAGGTGTTTAAACGATCTTAATTAAGTGATAAGCTCACAGAAAGAAATCCTCTGAAATTAGAAATTGTGAGCAGTGTATCTGAAGACAAATGCCTTCTCAGCAGCAATGAGGGTCCATGCAGCCTCTAATTCAAAAACTTTAGTTCAATTTATCTTTGACTGGGTTTCGAGAACTATTGAAGAATCTGCTTAAATAATGTCAATGAAATTACTGATTATTTTTAAAAATACATATAGCTATGCCTGTTGCTAAAAGAAAAATCCATCATTCGTAATTCATGGCTGAAGATTTGTTATTTCTTTCTATTCAAAGATGTACCTCCCCTTCACACATTACTGTGTTCTTTGAAGGGCTCCACGTACAGGCACTCACTGTGCCTATAACTGATCAAATGGAATTAACTGAGCCTGCAACACCCTTCAGGATTTTAAGCATTATTTCAGAGCTAGTGCAAACCTTTAGGAGCTTCAGAGAACTATCATAATTTTGTACCTGGTTGACTTCACACTACAAGGCTAAATCTCTGCAATCCATCTGAGGACTTACTAAGACTGCCGACTTCCTTTTTAAAAATGCGAACGAAATGCAGGCTGCACTGCTTGTGCAATTTTGATACACAAAACTCAATCAGAACTTCCAGCTGCATTACTGTATCTGAAAAAACGGCAACTATACAGCTTGCCTTTCTTTTTCACACACCATCAAAGCACATCATTTAGCATCAAGCAGATCAGAAAGACTTTAAAATAGTTTACTTGTGTTGGTCGGCTGGGCGGTGTGCTTATAAGAGGTGTGGGGCCCATTGCAGAAGCTGCATTCAAACTTCTTTCCCTTTCATCCTGGTATATTCGATCTCTTTCTGCTTCCGGCAGCTGCAAGAAATTCTGCATAGCCCGAAGGTTTACCAGTAAAGATTGTGATGCAGTCTTGGGGTCTTCTTCCTTTCGCAGGATTTCTGAGAGCAAGCCCTGTAGAGGAAAAAGACACACACACACACACACACACACACAAACAAACAAACAAACAAACACAAAGCCATATTACTCTATGCAGCCTTATATAACAAACAGCCACTGCTAATCATGATTTGCTTTGCTTCCTTAACTTTAGAAAACGCACAACAAAAAGGCATTCATCCTGCATAGGAATATATTACTGACAATTTAGGTAATACAGAAGAGAGCCTCAATTGTATTCCTAATTTTATTAAGTATCTGCTTTACGCACAATACAGACTGAATCTGCTTAATTGGTCTCCTCTTTTTTACTGACTTAACTTGCCATGAAATCTTTCTAAGACAGACAATAAGAATAAGAATAAATAAAATACAAGTAATTCTGCAGCATTATTGCATCACTGCTATTCAAGGTCTGCAATAAGGCATATATTAAAACGATATAGGCTATTTGAGGGCAGTTCACAATTTACACAGAACTCGTTTACAAAAAAGAGCAAAATCCACCTGTAGATTGTCATGTTGAAAACAGTACTTTGCTCCTCCTCCCCCCCACCCCCTGCTGCGCCCAACATTTGAAAAATATCATGACTAATTGTTGGATTGGATTATCACAGGTAATCATTGGAAACATGGCTTAATTGGTTATGGCCAATGTCTCAATATTTTTTCCTTCTCTCCTTCCCAAATAATTGTAAGAATCACACACACACAAACACAGGAAAATAGTAGGAAATTATCCAACAAAATTTGGAATTTGCAGCCAACTCACAATGGGGATTATTTACTCATTTATTTATGCATTTGTAGTCAAGATTCAAAGGTAGACATCTAAGGGCTCTCACCCAGGTACTAATGACCCTCACACAATCAGCTACCACAAACAGACTCTTAGTATCTAAAATGATCTTATCTTCCTTTAGGAAATACACAGGAAGGTTTTGTTTCCACTCCAAAACAAAGAAACAGACCAACCAACCAACCAACAAACAAACATGCTATTTTTTATTAAGAATGGCTTAGGTTTCTTGCCATATTTTAGGCAGCTGATCATTTAACTTGACCAAGCAGTTGCATAGAATCACAGAATTGCAAAGTTGGAAGGCATCCCAAGGGTCATCTAGTCCAACCCCCTGCAATGCAAGGATCCTGTCCACAGCCATTCCAGGGTGGACTCAAGCCACTAACCTTCTGGTTAACAGCCAGATGCACTGGCCCACTGCACCACGAGGCTTCCATACATGTCTTAGCAGTGGGATTTACTTCAAGTATGGGAAACTTTGGTCCCCCAGACATTACTGAACTACCTCTCTCTCCATCCTTGACCACTTGCCATGCCTGCAAGGCCCAATGGAAATGCAGTTCAGCAACATCTGGAGGACCGAAAGTTCTTCATTCTTGATCTACTTGATTAGCTTGCCTGGCGCTCCAGGAATGATCCACCCGCCTCGGGTTAGAGTGGCCAGTGAATCTGCATTATTAACTAAACCTGCAGCAAATGGCTTTGATAGGATGATCCACAGGTTTTTTGTTTGTTTGTTTCTTCTTCAGGCAACCTTAACAAGATTATACCCACATCAAGATTATTATTACCACCATCATCATTAAATTTGCATACCACCATTTTTGTGAAGATCACCAGGCGGTTCACAATAAAAAAATACAAAATGAGAATGCAAAGTTTCAAATAAAAACAAAAACAAACTCATAACCCCTCTAGAATACTAGAGGGAGCCCTTTTTATGAAAGGACGCAGCTGATGGTAGAGTTAACACTTCACAAAGTCATAGAGATGTGAAGGCAACCTGAGTTAATCAAAACCCAGACCAGGGAGCAAAGAGAACTTAAAGAGAGACTTGGAGGAGCCAACCACTGCTCCATAAAACACTATATACATTTTGAAAAGGCAAATTAAATTTTATCTTTGCCAAGGAATTAAAAAAGCAAGCCCATGAAAAGTAGCCCAGCTACTTTAAGTACATTGTGTAGCAAAGAGGCTCAGCCTTTAAAACAGCTTACCAAGAAACAAAAAGATCACAACATTAGAAGAATTTGTCCAGCCAAGCGCTGTGCAGGAAGAGTTCATAAACAGAGCACTGTGCTATAATATGTCATACCCAGTAGTACAAATGGTGACAACAGAAATGGATGACAATTTTTTTCTTAGGCGGTATATATTGTAAAGGCATTGACCTTCCAGGAAGAATAAATGTAATTATTTGTGGGTCAAATGTTAATTCCAAAACAGATTCAGGATATGATGCGACAGTAGTTTCAGAGGAGAACTACATGGTATTCCAAGGCAGAGATTTTTACCGCACAGAGGGTGTTCTACTACAGAAATAATATACAAAGAGGAGCCGTTCACTGCATGTGTGTTACAAGGTGGTAACCTCCTCAGCCTTAGAGTACCTGCCCAAGAGAAAAAGAAGGAATGTTTGGAGACACTAGACTAAAAAGAAGATGGCGACTAGTGTCAACTAGTGACCAACTAGATGCCAATGGGAAGCTCACAAGCAGAAGAGTACAACAAAATTCTCCCCATTTGTGATTCCCAACAAATGGATAGAAGTCTGTCCAGCTTCTGTGCATAAAGGTGCTGCTGCTGTTCCCTTAGGTAAGGGGAATAATCTCCTAAGAAATTGATTCTGCACCGTTTCTAGCCCTTTGATAGTGTTCTTGTCCTCTCCCCAAATTCTGACTTTGTACAGCATTTGGGGGATCACTCTGGAGCTCAGCTCATCTCTGTTAGATTTAATAAGCCATGATGGGTGAGGGTTAAGTAAAACTATGGGTGGTTGGACCCAGCCAAGCATCTTATCCAAATAATGAGGCTCCAATAACTGAAATTTATTCATGAAAGCTAGGGTATAAACACTGCATCCTGATGGTAGGGAGCAACTTTATAATAAATAATAATTATAATAATTATTATTTCTACCCCACCCATCTAGAGGGTTTCCCCAGCCACTCTTCAGAGTACATTGCAAATAAATAACAGCACTCTACCAAATTCCTCCTGGGCTAGACCTCAAAAGATCTCACAATATTCAGAAAAGCTCTGCTGGAGGATACTGAGAGGATTCAACAGCAGAGGAGAAAAACTGTTTCTGCACTTCCATCACTGCTAGAGTAGCTTGATACTGGGGCTCTATATTGTGGTCAGCTGGATACACCATGGATTTTTTTGTACCTGCATTCCGACAATTTTCATTTTTCAAAATTATTTGTGTGTGCATTACTAGGAGGAGTGCATGATTCAGAATTGATGTCAGTTGCATTCTGCTCCATAATTCTTACAGAAGCAGAAAAACTTTATTTTATGTATTGCTTATAACCTACTTTACTGAGGAAGCCCCAAGTTGCAAACAGAAAACTCGGCACAAAATATTAGGATAATCTATAACAAAACATAGCATATATTAACATATAAAAGAAGTAAAAGCTATAGTCAGGTCAAAATAATGCAGTAAACGTGTTAAATCCATACAGAACTTATACAATGATTTTATGTTTTGGTCTAAGTAGAGATATAATAGCCCACTATTGGTAAAAGTGAAATAAATACATACTGGGAAAGTGGGTAATAAGTACTATCTTGGAGAAACCAATTATTAAAACACATTGAAAGGAGTAAGTGCAGCAAACCTTAGTTGTACTGATTGTAGCTGGATTCCTACTGCAAACAAATTTCAGCATATAGTTTGTAACTTCTTTCCTGCATTGCTTTTTTTCCACAACATGCCAATTGCTTTTCCACTAAAAAATGGAAGGCAGAAATCACTAGCGTGCAGGCACACACACACACGTCTCTATATAGACTATGTTCTTCCAAGCTCTTCACAGACCATAAACACTTGATGACCTTCGTACATGAAAATATTTGGACCAAGTATCACTACAAAGCCATCCAGTGTTTGCCATGGCAGACATCTTGTCACAAAGTCCCACAATGCAAGCGTACACTTTCAAGTTAAGAGGGGGGATGTCAAACTTACATTCATACTGTGTATGCTTTTCTTTGTCAGATCCAGATTGCTATTCACAGAGATTTGGAATGTCAAGAGGTCTTCTAGTATATCACACTGAGACGGTCTAAATACCTAAACCTTAGCAATGTTTCAGAGATGACTAGAAAGTACTTTGCTGACCACTGGCAAGTAAGCAAATTGGAAAGGCTGATAACAGATGGGAGCTGTATTGATTGTACCAAAATCTATGAAGAAAGAAATCCTAGAACTTGTCCAGTAGCACCTTAAAGGTAAAGGGACCCCTGACCGTTAGGTACAGTCGCTGACGACTCTGGGGTTGCGGCACGCATCTCGCTTTACTGGCCGAGGGAGCCGGCGTATAGCTTCCGGGTCATGTGGCCAGCATGACTAAGCCACTTCTGGCGAACCAGAGCCAGCGCACAGAAATGCTATTTATCTTCCTGCTGGAGTGGTACCTATTTATCTACTTGCACTTTGATGTGCTTTCGAATTGCTAGGTTGGCAGGAGAGTAGCACTGTGTATCTAAAGAAGTGTGCATGCACACAAAAGCTTATACCCAGAACAAACTTAGTTGGTCTCTAAGGTGCTACTGGACAATTTTTTACTTATTTCGACTGCATCAGACCAACACGGCTACCTACCTGAATCTAGAATCCTAGACCTTGTTCACCAAGGGGATAAAAGTATAATCACAAGTTGTGAACAAGCCATGAGGATAGCACAATACTAGAAATGACATAAAAAAACCAAAATATTATCTTGTGGCTGTTTTAGAAGAAACAGATTGTGACAACAGAATCTTTCATCACTACACCCCACTGGGAGATGGACATTATTTGGCAGACACTAACTACTATTAAAGGTATATTGAGATACTCCCTTGCCTGGCATTATCTGCCACAGTGCTGTTGTACGACTAAATAATATCTTTGATAACTTTGGAATTCCAGATAAATTCATGGCCTAAAATATAATCCAATTTGCAGCAACTGAATTCAGTCATTCTGGACATCTTATAACTTTTGCTATGTTACCAACAGTTAAGGACAATGAGCAGTACAGACTGCAATGAAAATCTTGAGGGGGGGAAATGACATATATACTTGTTCTTTTAAACTTCAGGTCAATGCTATTGATTCTACTGGATACAGTCCAGCAAATTGCTCACGAAAAGACAAATCAGAATACTATTCCAACCCTAGAGAAGAACCTCTTTCCAAAAAGGCCTGAGTTGGAAAAAGTTGCTGCTTCAAATTAGCAAGCCAAGAGAAGTTATGAGCATTCTATAACTAATTCAGTTCAAAGCAGTAACTGCCACATTTAAAGAGAGGAGACAAAGTTTATATCAAATTTGTTGGAGAATACTTGATGGCATCAGCTACTGTGGAAGAAATTAAATACCCAGATAATATTCTGTTAAGATGGTACATGGAATACTCAAAAGAAACCAACATCTTCCTATCCCCAAGAAGTTACAGTCTCCGAATACACAAAGTAGTACTTGAAATCCCAAATTCATCTACTGAGAATCAGCCAGAGCCATTTTGTAAGACTGAAAGTTATATTACTACTCAGATTGTCATATGTTCTATACCTAAACTACCCAATACAGTTGTACCTTGGCTCCTGAATGCCTTGCGAGTCGAACGTTTTGGCTCCCAAACGCCGCAAACTCAGAAGTGAGTGTTCCGGTTTGCAAACGTTCTTTGGAACCCTAACATCCAACGGGGCTTCTGTGGCTTCTGATTGGCTGCAGGAGCTTCCTGCAGCCAGTCGGAAGCCACACTTTGGTTTCCGAACATTTTGGAAGTCGAACGAACTTCCGGAACAGATTCTGTTCGACTTCCAAGGTACGACTGTATGTTGATTTATTCAACTACTGTTTCTTTAAGTAAAAGGGATGAGATGTGTGGACAGTGTGGAGGTATAGAGAATGACAATGTCTATACCTCCAAATGTAATCAGATCACCGGTAGCACTGGTTTAGGAGTTCCCCATGTTTGTCTGCCCTTGAGAAAGACAACAGGTTTCTTGTCTAGCTTCCTGACCGCTATGCCCACCATGGCCGAGAGCACGCATGTGAAACCTGTGGCCCTCCAGATATTGCTAGACTACAACTCCCATCATCCCTGACCATTGATCAAGGTGGCTATGCCTAATGGGAGCTTGAATATTTTCGGACACGGACAATGACAACCACCCTATCTTGCTTTTTCAGCTTTAAGCTAGAAATGGAAAAGGAACTTTGCTTCCATACTTCTAAATTCTGTAGCCAGTGGGCAGCCCCACCTTCTCCAGCACCAAATGTCAAATGGGGGGTGGTTTTCAGTAGGATCACTCCCCCACCATCACTATGCACTCAGTCATGATTCTCCCCCTGGCTGCAATTGTGGGAAGAGAGAAGACAGACATAAAGCCAATTGGTAAAAGGAGGGTTAAATACTAGGGTGGAGAGACAATCTATAGAGAAGAATATGGCTACAGCTATCTAATATGCCAGTACAGCAGAGTGATAGGTCATGTAGCAATTGTGCAGCTAATTCAGGTGTGTATGCGTGGAAACTGATTAAGAAAACACAGGAAAGGGAAGTTTTATTCAAAATATATTGCAGATGCCCTTTTAGAAGTGAGTGGCCTGTGTGGAAGCAACCATGCAGTCCATCAACATCTGGAAGGCCACTGGCCCTCCATCCCTGGCTTGGAGTCAGCCTTTCTCAACCTTGGGTCCCTAGATGTTGTTGGACTAAAACTCCCACTATCCCTAGCTAGCAGGATCAGCGGTTAGGGATGATGGGAGTTGTAATCCAGTAGCATCTGAGGACCCAAGGTTGAGAAAGGCTGGTTTAAGTGTTACACAACACTCCCGTCAGAAGAGGTTGTCTTGAAAGGAGGTATGCCCAAATCTTAAATTATGCCATTTCTTTATTGCAATAAACCAGCAGTTTTCTAGTCATATGGGCTGTAGCTCATAGGTTTTACTGATTTATTCCCGTTGTTTTAAAACATAAATGCTCTTATTGATTTTTACTGAATGCCACTTTGCAGAAAGTGGTCTGTAAATAATATTAAATAAATAAGATATAAGCATAATTATTACAGTGATTATATTGCAACCAGCTACACCAGTGATTACCCCATTAATGCAGTCAAAGTAATTTGTCAATGTATTGTAATTCTGTTATTAAACTTTTGCTATGAGTGAAAAAGTGGATGAGCTTAGATGTGCTAATTTAGGAGGTCTGTTTTTCCCCTTACAGGAGAAGTCAATTTAAGCCACAGCCACATCACACAAAAAATGAACATAATCTTTACAAATCATTCAAGTATATTTCATTAGTAATTGCACAAATATGTTCAATAAGTTTCAGTGCTTTCAAAAGCTAATTATGAATTCTTTAAAATAGGGAGATAAATGAAAGTGTCTGCCAATATGAACTAAAACATAGCCTGTCTGGCCCCCAGTTTGTCTGCTCTTTGAACGTAATCACTGATTCAGATAGATTTTATCAGGCTCCTGGAACTTCAAAGCTCTCTGAAGAAAAATATGATTTGCTCCCAAATATGCAGAACATCCTCATATGCTGTCTTTACTGCAATGGATTGAAATCTCATATCCAGGTGGAAGATTATTTTCAAACTCCACCCGCAAGTTTGGAGTCCTGCCAAGTAAGTTATAAGCAGACACATTTATCTTTGTCGCTTATTAGCGAGAGGAGAGCTGTCATGATAGTGTAATAGCACCTTTTTACCTTTTACTCAAACAGTGATATGGGTAGTGTGCTTTTTCTTAAATTACACTATGAAGAATTATACGAACACAGTGGCAATTTCTGTTATACTTAAGCAGGCAAATTTCCCTCCACCACATAATTTACAGAACTCAAATTCAATAAAACATTACAGGATGGTCCATTACTGTTATCAATTTTGAATAATCCATCTTCATTCTTCATTTTACTGGAAAATAAGCAGCGTGCCAAAGACAAGGGAGAAAAGGAGGAAAGAAGAATTGAAGAAAGCCTAACTGGGTGGTGTGGGGAAACCGTTGATGTGGCTTTAAAATTACTGCATGGACATTGCAGTACCCGCATGCCATTTCTTTAAAATTGAAGCTGTTTAGGGGTAAGGGGCATCTACAAAATCTCTCTCTTTTCAAACTGCAAATGGTCTCCACTCCCCATACTCAAACACCCCTCATTTTATCCAGATACACTGCCCTGCAGTTCACTGAGACTTCAAAGTCCCAATGGAAGGAGCATGGAACATTAATTACTTGCAAGTAGGTTCCCATGTTGTCTGTGTCAAGCAGCAGGCTAAGGAACCTGCAAACGGATCTACTTGTTAGTGGAGATCCAGCCTGCTGCTTAACATGGCAGAGTGGAACCTTTCCTCCCAAGCATGTATTTTCAAGAAGAAAGTCCTCAAGACTAATCAATTTCACTGCTAAGCAAAAGAAATGATTTAAAACCTTCCAAGAGGATTTCCTAGACCCTTCAACAATGTACTACTCTGTTGTTGTTGTTGTTGTTGTTGATGACGATTTATTGAATTTCTATACCGCCCTATACCCGGGGATCTCTCTTAAACTGCAGTTGTTGTATGGAGCAGTTTATGGGACACACGTTGAAAAATTTATAGTTGGTGCAAATTCAAAGTTTGATTTTCCCCCCTTAAATATCCAAAAGCATTTCTTCTCTTTTACTGTACTATTTAACAATAAAATAATGATTAATGGAATTGCTGCAGCTTCTCTCTCTCTCTCTCTCTCTCTGTGTGTGTGTGTGTGTGAGAGAGAGAGAGAGAGAGAGAGAGAGAGAGAGAAACAGGAAAAACACTAATCTTTGCCATGGGAAAGGGTAAAATCGAGAAATTAACAGATAACAATTTCAGAAATGAAACTTTCAAAAAAAACCCCAACCCAACCCATCATATTTGGAGATTTAAAATATGTGAAATAATATATATATGTAGAAGCCTGGAGCATAAGCAAGAGACGTGCTTAGTAGAAACATCAGTAGAACAAAACTGCTTCAGAAGCATGTATGAACAAAAAGACTAAGAAATCAAGAAATCTTACAAATCAAAATATCTGTTCCTTCTGTATGAAACACCTCTTTGTATTACACATAATATCTGAAACAATAGTAAACTTGCCTTAACAGAGCTGGTTTTTAGATAGACCCTCTATTTACTAATATCTTTTACATTAAAATGCTGCATGAAAGTTTCTTTTTATGTAATAAACGAGGGAAAAGACATAAGACAGTTAAGTGGGACACAAAAGAACAAAATATATTCCCCCTGCCCCTTATTTGTACAAGGTCCAGTGGAAACCACTGTCTCTGGAATGGTGGAATATATATTACAGAAATCATGGTCTGTACCAACTGAAAGATGCATGAATTTGTCCTAGAATATGGCAACATCAACTTTTTGACAAGAGTGTTACAGATAAATTCATATGCACACTAGTAAAATGAGAGCTACTACTTAAGCAAAAATCGTAAGGCACCCTTCCCAATCCAGTGCCTTCTAGATGTTGTTGGACTGTAACTCTCATCATCCTTGACTGATGGCATGCTGGATAGAGCTGATGGATATTGTAGTCCAAAACGTCTGCAGACCACAAGACTGGCTGGGGAAGGCTATCCTAACTTGCATGGTCTTCAACTGTTAGTGAATTTCTGTGCACTAGCCAAAAAATGTAAGCTCTTAAAAAGCATACTACTCCCTTAATCGGAACTGCTTTTTTCAGTGAAACTAGTTCTTGGTTGTCCAAGAACAATTTAAAAATAACTTCAGTCCGTAGCGTAAATTCCACATACAGAAATATCCCACAATTTATATTCACACACGTTTAACTTAATTAAAATTCAGCAGATGTAATATTACCAAAAAACCCTTCCTCCATTTCAGTAGAAGTCACAGAGCTGGAAATAATCACAAATATTTTCAATTCACATTGTTTCAATGAACGACTCAAGAATAAAAGCAGTTACATTTTCCAAAGCTCAGGCTGATGGACCTTGCTAATAGTTTGTGCAATAAAAATAAGTCAAACAGTGAAAAACTGGACTTTTAAAACCCGTACTAAAATGGGGTTGTCATGGTTGTCCTACGAATATTTTTCTTTTATAAAAAGTGGGGAAGATTTTGTTTGAGGCATGATTAATGAAAACAAATGAAGGGCTAGGTGGAACTATCTGTGCTCATTTGGCGCCTTAGAAACAACTGGGCTGTTGTGTCAGAACTTGAGAAGGAGTAGTCAAAGTAAAAACTATACCTCTGGCATGCTACAATCTGGCACCAAGACTGCTCCTGAAGTCTTCACAGATACAGACTACAGAGATTACTCTTGGACATCCAATATGCAAACAATCTACAGCAGGGATGGGGAACATGTGGCTCTCCAGATGTTGTTGGACTACAACTCAACAAACCACTGGGAATGTTAGCTGGGCCCGGGGGGAGGACAAAATCCAATAAAATCTGGGGGAACACAGGTTCCCCACCACTATCCTACAGTACTGAGGTTGGTGCCCATACTGGTGATATAACCTTTGTTTGTTTCAAGTAAGGAGGGAATGTACCATTTCTGGTACAGTAGCTCACTGGAGAGGGGGAAGCATACAGCCCCCGACCACCAAAAAAAGGGAAAGAAGTTAAGGAAACAGAATGTTGTTCAGAGGTACACCCACAAAAACGGGAAAGATGAACACTCAAATGGAGAATGTGACACCCCTTTCAAAGGGCTATCAACTTTTGGGGGGAGGCAATTCATTCCTGCTACCCTCCCCTCTCCATATATTTTTAATTTAATATATGGAATATATATTTAGAATGTATATTCTACTCAGAAGATTTTTATTTTATTGAATAAGTTGATTAGGTTTTCAAGAAAAGGACACCATCAGCTTGGCTGTGAAAATATTTGCAGTTTAGGAATGAGTGACTGAGTGTTCTGAGGGGATCCCCCTGCCCTGCCTTTCATATGCTTTCTTATTCTTTCATAATTATTCTATTTATTTTGTCTCTACCAATGTAGATTACAAAGACCAAAACAGTGTTGCAATGCATGAAGAAACTTCTCCATGTATATAAAGATTTTTCTAATTAATTTTAAGTATTTCTGATGAAAGTATGTGCTATGTTATCCCTTTTTTATTTAGTGAAATCTTTGTACTTTCAAAATTTATTCAGTTTATAAATTTTGCATTATTAATTGAACTGATGCTGCCTGAGATACTGAAAATTAATTTTATTGATTGTTTACTCCAGCATTTTTATAGTTAAGGCAATTATTCATATTGCCTGGCTGTGGTTTTTTGATATTATTGTTTTTACTTTGGTATGTTCTTGTTAAAAGCTTTGGGCTTCATTTTGGAAAAGTAAGTGGGGTACAAACATTAAATAAAAGAAGAAGAATCCAAATTGAAATGCAACCGTATCCCATTGGAACTGGTAAAGTTTTTGTAAGATTAGCATTTTTTTTCTTCATTGCAGGGTTTGTATCCTGGGCAGGTATTTCAGTAGCTTGAATAATTGGCTTTTCTTTTTATTAGGCATCTGTGATCTCCATTTTTTGCGATTTATGACTGTTTACATACTTTGTTTTGATATAACGTATTACCATTTACCATGTATGTCTATCATAATTCATTGGTCCCTTTTATGGGTAGCGCCAGTTTGTGTGCTCCTATCTCTCCTGTTTGGTTGGCATCTCTGATCTAGTCTGGTCCACTCTTCCTCTCCTTTGGTTTCTTTGTTGGGGAGTCACAGAATGGCAGAAGACTGCTTCAGGATGATGAGGTAACCTTGTTGAAGCTTGCTATTTATTTTTGTGTTCCAAATGTTTCATGAACACTTCTCAACTTCAGTGGGTTGGAGGAGGTGGACTCAAGGATGGCAGTGGAAAAGATTATTAGGGCTGCCAGTTGCAATATGCAGAATCTGCCCTTTTCTTTCAACACATGGGGAGCAGACCCTCTTAGATTTTGCTGTACTTCCAATTCCCATCAGCATAGCAAATTGATAGTCAGGAACGATGGAAACTGGAGTCCAACAGTATTGTGGTGGACACAGGTTCCTGCTTTAACACTACTGGTACAGCAGAAGAGGTTGTAATTGCTTCATCTCCTGCCTACTCTTTCATTGGATTTCTCTCTCAACTTTACACAACAACATCCAAGATGACACTGGGCAGGAGATGTAGCAGCAACATCATCTCTTGCTGCATCACTAATTGTTAATTTTCAAAGTTGCCCCAATAGTCTGCAACCAAAGCATAACAGGTACAACGACTAATGCCATAGTATGTGTCAGTGCCCATTAAACAAATGAATTGACTAGGCAATGCAAACATTATAGATGCAAAGCACTTTATGACTGAAGTGAGCTACTTCTGGCTGAATGTGCCTATCGGCCCACTGTTGTGCAATTTTAAATTATGTTCCAAAGTCTGGGAATAATAGAAACTATTTATACTAAAAGTGTGCTTTGAAGACCTATAAGATGTTGCACTTTTTAACTGTTTACTTCTCCAAACCATGGTTACTAAGTAAAAAAAAAAGAAATGGGGGGTATGCAGGAGAACCAGCTAAGTGTGGTCATAATTGCCTAGTACATTTCCTAGAAGCTACCAATTTTGCATCTACCAATGTTTCATTTATCCATCACGGCAAGTCTAAGTTTGTGCAAATAATAGAATAATGAACAGGGGAGATGGCAAAAATAAAAATAAAAATTAATAATCTTGCTTTTTTTTTTTTTTAAAGAAAAGTCTAACCTGAGTTCTGTTAAATGCCACACGTGCAAAAACTGCCTGCGAGATTCCTGCTCGTTTCAATTCATCACGCACCCACTGGTAGATTTCGGAAGACACCTCTGTGTTAGTTGAGACCTGCTGCTCCAACGGCTTGTTCATGGATCTGCTGACCGGAGGAGGATGGTTCAAGTACTGTTGGTTTAAGGACTGTTGGGCTAGAAGTCTGTTCACTGCATACTGCTGGTTTAACAGTTGGGCCATTACCAGTTGCTGATTTACCAACTGAGGACTAATGGGAGTAGATACAAGTCCAGGATGCAGGTTTGGAAGTGGGGTCCGAACACGTGGTTGACTGCTATGAGAAAGCTGAACAGGGGATGGAGGCTGTTCAGCCGTGTTCCCTGGGACTGGTTGGTGTCCAAAGTTGACGTGGTTGGCACCTTGTTGGGATAGTTCAGAAAGGCTATCCATTTCAGCTACAGAAGGAGAGGGGGAAAAGAGAGATACTACTTAGATGATTTTTTTTTTACAGGCACACACACACACACACACACACACACACACGTGTGTGTGTGTATATATATATATATATATAGCGCAGCATGGTTGATAATCTTCACGATAAGATTATTCTCTATTTGATTACAGAGCATCGCCAATAAAACATTGCTAGCATTTTACCAGCTGTATTTTTTTTATAGACAATGCATTATTTATTTAATAAAATTTATTATAAAGAAAAATCTCCAAGCGGATTACAAGAAAGCCAAAACAATAAAATGATCAGCAAAAACAGCTCTTTAAAATACTCAAATAATAAGTAATATCAGCAATAAGTGATAAAAATATTAAAACACTTGTAAGCAAACATTCTACCTATCTGGATAGGAAGGTCTGCTCTAAAGAAAACTGATTTTAGCAGATGAAGAAAAAAGCATCGTGAAGGCACCTGCTGGATGCCAATAGGCTCTTGGAAAACTTGAGAAAGCTCTTCACTCCCAAGAAGAGGGCAATTGGCATTATCAGTTCTGTAAAGCTTCAGCTTACAAACACTGAGTCTCTCATATATTACAATAAAAATTACCTTTGTATTCGGCCTGTTCCTTTTTACATCCACTATTTAAAGCCCCCCCCCCAAAAAAACCTGAGAGTATTTTAAAGATTTTTCTTTCAAGTTACATTATTGTTGTTATTATTGGACAAATTTTAACTTCTGGGTGTATTCCAGCCAGTAGTTTTAGAATGGCTAGAATGGTTTGTTGTTGTTTTTTTTTTTTATTATTATTATTATTAGCATTAGCATTTGGAAAAGTGAATGCAAAGCTGTTATTAAAAGCACGGCCAGCAAATCCCTGGCTATGCAGAGGTGGAAAACTCGTTTCTTTTCTAATGGCAGAGCTAATATGGGGAATGAAATTCTGCAACAGTCTCTCAAAAGTTATTGGATACTATAACCATACACATCTGGTTTTGAGAATACATAGCAGAAGCTTATGCGAAGCTCCATCATTTGAATGTTCATCAGAAAGCTTTTAAAAAACCTGAACAAAACTGAAAATAAATGCTGAATCCAGAGTATTTATTTCGGAAGGTACTGAAGTTACAAGTGATTTCTGTATATTAAACTGTGGTTCGGTTAACACAGGCCTCATTTGTACATTTGTGTACATATTTTAACACCTCGTCACTTTTTAAATAGCCACTGTTTTCATTCCTGGGTACGGAAAAACTTGTGAAGAAATTCCTGTGAAAATCAGGCTGCAAACTGCCCACAACAGCCTTGCGGGCAGCCTTTTCTTCTGTTGTGGGGTGCTGATTTGTGACATTCTGCCAGCAGCGACTGACAGGTGCTGCAGACTTGGTCATATACAGCAACCCGTTTTCACACACGTTTTTCCATAATCCCATACCTAGGGAGGAATAGCTGTAGAAATGACAGTGCCACTTACAGTTTATTCCTAACTCATAAGCAAGCCCCACCCTTACTCATGAATCCAATGAATTCATGGGACTTACCGCCTGGTAATCGTGTAATCGTGTAATAGGACCGCAGCCTAAGAACTGATATTACACCACCCAGTTTGCAGTTAAAAGTGTGAGCAGGCTCCAATGAAAAACAATGTGGCTAAAATGTGGCGCAAACTGATAGGAAGGCTCTCTGTGTTACTCTATCTGTGACAGCTGTCTCACCACACGCAAACCATCATAGGCGAACCATCGTTTAATATGGCAGTCATCAAGAGTAAGCATGCATGAATTTCACCAGTAGTCTGACCCCTTTTTTCTTCTTAGAGCAGGTCAATGGCTGCTAGCATATTTATATAGCAATCTATTATATTTTCACTATCTAAGCTTAACTTTTCCAAAAAAAAAAGGTAATATAATTTAATAAAAGCATATTTTGGCAAACTGTTACGTCCTAATCCCTGTCTAACTAGGTCTTGCACAGATAAAGATTGGCCTTAATCCAGTTAGTGTTTTGGTACAGATTGTGGTTTTATGTGATGTTCTGGTAAATTTTATGGTTTTAGTATGCTTTTTCCATTTTAGAAAAGGCACACAAATGTTGAGATAAATGGCCATAAATGGTACTACAGTGGTACCTCGGGTTACAGATGCTTCAGGTTACAGACTCCGCTAACCCAGAAGTAGTACCTCAGGTTAAGAACTTTGCTTCAGGATGAGAACAGAAATCGCCCTGTGGCGGCGGGAGGCCCCATTAGCTAAAGTGGTACCTCAGGTTAAGAACAGTTTCAGGTTAAGAACGGACCTCCGGAACAAATTAAGTACTTAACCCAAGGTACCACTGTAATGTAAATTCTATCACTGACTGCAATGCAATTTGGATCAGATTATATAGACATCCATCACTGGACTCTTGATTTGACTTCATAGAAACATGAAGCTTCAAATAGGAACTGACTTCTGTTTTCACTCCAGGGTGTTTGGCACATTCAAAAGTTATTAACCCCATGTTTCAGTAAACCCTGTGATGTGGAGGAGAACATCGTAATGGAGATGCAGGGATAATCATGGTGCCTACATACAGTCAAAATAATCCTTTGGCTACAGGGTTCACTGAGAAACCATGAGCAAAAAAATATGGTGAATTTAGTTTTTCTTAAATCAAGAGATTATTTTCTTAAACCAGTATTGTAACATACGGTCATTATTATTATTTCTGCTATGATGGCCACAAGACAGATTTAAAATCTGAAATGTTTTCAGTATTCAAAATGTTACGATTCCCTTTTTTATTTCTAAAACTTTGAGAAAGCTAACAGGTGTCAGTATGCCAATATTAATGAATACTAATTTTTAAAACTACACATTATTAACATTCAAGCATTTACACAGCTTTCTTCCTCTTCCTTGGCTATACTGTACAAAAAGTCTTCTGGGAGCAGGAAAACTTTATCTCATCTCTTGTACATATTAGCAAAAACAAGTCCAAGTTTCCAGAATCTGAATAAGCTTAAAAGTGCTTCAAATCATAAACAAGTAGTCACCATTACTTCAATTCTTATCTTTATGCTTACCCATCATATCTTTTGCCTTCTTGAAATGTTTATACCACCTCCCAAATTCCTGACATTTTGCTGCCGAGACGTTTGCATAGTAAGTGCTGTTCACAATGGAAGAAATCATACTCTGAAAAAGGAGGGCAAAAGCATCTGTATTATTGAGATGTTTAACAAAAGACATTATTTTAATTATCTGATGGATAATATTTTAAGACTCAATACCATATTGAATTCTAACTCTTTAGATCCCTGCTATTTGTGCCAGTATCTTTGACAGAAATACCAGCGTAGCATCACTTGCAAAAATTATGTCATATTTTTATCTAGCCCATGACCCTCTGGGGGCTGTTTTTCCACACAAACATACATTAATGGAAGACGACACATATTCTCCCTTGTGTTAAAAATCATGTAAAGTTTTGTTTTGACACATCTTAAAGCTGCTATGTTAGGAGGCTTCCAGGGAAAGAAAATGCAACAAAATCTAAGCTTGCACGATCTTCTCACATGACTATGTAAAAACAGGTACACCCACGTAGGAAAAAATGGCAATTTTTAATGAATGGTCAATGATAGCGGCTTATAAGTCTTATTGAAGGAAGCTACAAGATTCCATTTTTGCATCATATTCATTTGGTATTATTTAATTATGCAAACCTAAAATTCTAATAGTATTTCTATAAAGAATAATTTTCTAGAATAATTTTATCCCCTACTTCCCCCACTCATCAAGTGCTATTTTTAGTTTTCAGGCTCAATAAGAAATAATCCTTAACATACGCAAGGAAATATATCAATTTAATACATTAAGATGAATCTGAATGGATCCACCCTCCACTCGTAACAGAGATAGTAGTTGAGCTTGTTATACCAGGTACTATAGTGAAGTTGCATCCCCCCCCCCCAATTTGCAACTCCATCCCTCACCTTCAGAGGACAACACAATTTACCTGTTGGGTGTGGTACAGTACATTAGACCTTCTTCCCATCCTTACAGATGGGAAGTGACAAGCCATCTAAGTTTCTTTAATCATAACTCTTACAATGAACCAGAGGGGCTTGGTCAGATAACTACCTTGTTTGTAATACTACTTGTCCTTTATGAATCAATAAAGGTGGGTAGCAGAGGATCAAAAAAGTACAAGGACTATGTATGGTGAAGCAATGGCATGAGGCAGAAATCATGGAAGTCCAAAATCGAAGTGCCAAGATAAAGACATCCTGAGAATTAACACCTGTGGGACTTTTCAAGTTTGTAAAATGACAGACGGCTGTCAATCCTGTTGTCACGTGCTAGCTAAGTATCATATCAGAAAGACAGCTAAAAGATTACTGTTGTCAACTCTCTGCAAGGCAATCTTGTGTTCATTCAATTTCACATGAAAAGGACTTTTTCATATATATATATTATCTTTCAAATATACAACTCCCAAGTGAATATAACACTGCAATACATTTAAAGGTTCGCACTGAGATTTTTCTGTAGCTGGCTTTTACCATTTTTCTTTCCGCTTCAAATACTTCTAAAGTTAACTTAAATATTGCTAGTTGGCAAAGAGATTTGCAAAGACGTATTTTCAGTTATTTTCTCCGTGCTGCCTATGGCTGCAAAAAGCTTTAAAATACAGGCAAAAAAAGAAATAACATAAAATATAGCAAGTTATAGTGTCAGAGATAGTGACACTGGTAACAGCTTTTGCCCTTTCCTGGGAAAGGAAAAAAATTTGGACAATTTAAACTGCCGACAGATCTCTCTGTCTCTGCACATCCACTGCGAAATTGCTTGAGTTCATATGTGTCTCTAAGATCAAAAAGTACCCAAATTTATACATGCACAGTACTTGTAGTTCTTTTTCTGAGAGTCTGATGAAGATTTGATCTGAAATGGTGCCACCTTTCCAAAAGCCCTACTACACTGGGATGCTACCATCTGCCACAGACTGAGCTTTCTTTTACAGCCAAATACATTATTTATAATTATCTCTTCCATAACTATGTGGCAATAGGGATTGATTCCCACTCCCCACCCCAGTTCATTTTTGCTTCATCTAGACAGCTTTAAAATGTATCCTATATTCTGAATCCTAGCCTCGCATAATATGGGATAAGATGGCATCGCAGTAATTTCGCATACATTTTGTGATTTAAAGGGGCGGGGAAGACCTGAGGTCTCTCATCTGTTTTTTTATATATATTGTTTATTCATAAGACAAGAGAAGATTTATCCCTAGGTGTACTTTTATATCTGATCCAATCTTCATCAACCAGTACAGCATATTATAGATGGCCTTTCTTAACTATGACATGTAGGTTCTCTCCTCGTAAATGGCTTATGATTAAAAATGCATTGTTGTTCATTCTGGGAAGCAATGGAAAAAACAACGTTAATCAGGTCAGTTCAATCATCTAAACCAAAACTGTTCATGCTTTGCTGCCAAATCAACCAGCCACTACAAAATCTGTTATCTGTGATTGCTCAGCTTCAGGTCACAAAACCATTTATCTTCCACTGTCCCCAAATTCCATGCCGCCGCCCCCCACTCACCATTTTTAAGTATAATTTTTTACATATCTGTAAAGAAGACCATGAACAGCTTCATCAAAGAAGATACAAATTTACAAAAAAGTGCTATCTGACCTAGGAGGCAACTTAAGAAATCGACTGCAAGAACAGAGATATTTAGTCTATTTTTGCATGTGAAAAGTATGCCCTTCCAAAAGTATCATAGCCAGAACTTTCATAGTCCTTTCTGATTGTTTAAACTGGAAATGAAAAATAATCATTTATATAACTGGCTCATTGTTCTTGAAAGCTTTCAAGCTCTATCAGCAGAGGGGGCAAGGGCTACAACAACTTATTTACACAATTATCTAAATACGATTAAACAGCTGATGGACAAATATTAAACTGGAAAATGTATAGTCATTTCAGCTCAATGTAATCCTCTTTCTGTAAACACCCAAGATGATTTCCCCCCCAACTAGAACAGTCCTGACATCTCATAAGCCTAAGGGTGAATAACAAGAGATTGTTTTTGATAGTTATAAATATTCAAAAGACATGCAGACCATCTGCTTTCATATTACAGGTAAAGCAAGTCTGAAATGGTGACTGCTATACAAAAATGGTTCTTTTAACAAAGTCTTCCTCTCCTCAAAAACTATAAAGACAGATGTCAAAAGCTGTTTATACAGGGTAATCAGGAGTGTGCAAGATGCAATATTCCTTTTATGCACAGAGCTTGCTAGAGAGTTTCTCTTATTTCTTCCCATCCATGTGTTGCCAGCACATTTCTAGGAATTTTTTTAAAAAAAATCTTTTGAAAAATGGAGATCTCACAAATACCCGAAAAGATGGCTATTTGTATCACGAATGCTAATTAATATCAGCAAAGGAGTTCCCCCTAATTCTATTGGAAAGGAAGCATGGATTTGAAATGCCACACTGTAGGTGGAAGACAATGAAAGAATTAAACAAGGTTAATTGTATACTACCCTGTCACTCAGTATTTCCACATCACCACCTTGTACACAAGTCAACATCTGTTAAATTAGGATTTGCTATAAGCAACCCAAGTCTCCCCCCACCCCACTTCAAATAAGGTTTTATTTATGCTTTAACATTAATCACACTCTCCACGAGTAGGCTTATAACAACATAATGATTTTGTCAAGTGGCAAGTTAAAAGATACCTTATCTTCGAAGCAGAATATTAAGAGCACTGTCCATAAACCCTGACCGTCAATTTTCAGAACTGAAAAATTATCTTGACAGTAACCTTTTAATGTATCACATTAATGACCCAGCAGTGTTAAGCACCTTGTTTTTATAATTCTCAATAAAAGGGACATTTAATGAACAATCTGTCAAAGTACTGGTTCCTTTTCTTCTTTCTGTCTCTCTTCCCTTCACCCAGTACTATTAAAGGCTGTTCCCAATTCTGTAGACTCTCTTTTCTATTCATCAGACACAGAAGAGAAGTGAGGAGTGGGTAAGGGAAGGCCATTTCAAACATCAGGGTTTTTTAAAGGGCTTATGATAACCTAATTTTTCAGTTTCCGAAAATACATATACTCACAGCCCCCCAACAAACACGTCACGCATATCCAATGTAAATGATACCAGAATCCATGACTATGGACTTCAGATTCACATTGCATGTACCTGAAGAAAAAACAAACCACAACCCTCCTGTTGATACTCCCACCCCACCCACAAGCCTTGCTTGTGTTGCCCTCATTCATTACATCCTTCTGTCTGCAATGGAGGACAACCACCAGATTTTGTTCTCAACGGACCAGGGTCTGTTGAGCTATTTAGCAAAAAGAAAAGGAAAAACCTAGTCCTTACACTTCAGCTTTGCAAGTCAGTATTGAAACTGATGTCAATTTTAAGACGGAGTGATTCCTAAACAACCACCCAAAAGAAATTGCTATATAATATTAGTATAACAAAAAACCAACATCCCTCATTTCTTCATAAAGGTGAATAGATAGAAGAAGCTTGGTGGATCTGAACATGAAATAGATTCTAAACCTTCAGAAAAAGGCCAGCTCCTACCCGCTTTTCCCAGTCCCTGAAATATCAGGGCTTCTTCAGAAGAGCTCAACAGACAGGAGGAGAAAGACTATCGGTACAGAGGGGAAAGAATTCCTCTCTAATTTGTATTCTATATTGCTTAATATAACTCGTGGATCTCAGGAACCCCTTAAAAACATATAGGACCTAGATACTGGCACATAAATTCTTCACAAGGATTGGAGTAAGATTTGGGAATCATGACCCTTATAATGTTTTTTACAGTTTTCTTAGAGAAAACTCCTTAAAATTATTACACAGGTGGTACCCCACTCATTTGAAAATGTCATAAATGTCTTCCTCTATTGTTACTAGAAGCTCCAGACACTTTTAAATAAGATTTGGCATTCCTTTATGACAGATATAGTGGAACCGTCATTTTCAAGACAACCCTCGTCACAAGCGTGGCAAATCTGGAACTGTAACTTGATGATCTGATAATGCTGAGAGTCTTTACTTAGACTTTGAGTTACTTTTACTCAAGTGCAACTACTCATTCTACAGTCAAGAGGTGAGCTGCAGCTTGTGAATCTTCAGAACTGTCCTCAGGGACAATATATAGTGCCCTGCAGTAGGCAACCCATTAAATACAAAGTTGGAAGTTATGGTTGCTAGCTCCTGTTTTTGACAGTGACAGAGTTATCAGATGCAACTGATAAAAGATCAACTGGACACATTTGTCAGCTCATTGATGACCTTTGCTGAAGATGGATCAGCGAGTAGGAAGTACACCATCATATGCACAGGTAGATTTATAAAGTTTAATTATGAAATTGTTGCTACAATACACCAATATTTCGACTCAAGATTTTGGTGTGTTTTTTCATGTTTAAATGGAAATGTCTTGTGATATTTCAAGACCTATTGATACACCTGAGACAGTTTCACCCTAGAAAATCCACAATGTCCAGGACACATCTGGAGCTATAATGATAAAAGGCAAGGCATTAAAGGCTACAATGCAAATGGAAGCAGAAACCTATGAAGGTGGACAAACTGAAACACAGATAACCCCATATCAGATTTATTATTCCAAGTATCTATTACCATGCTAAAAGCTTTAGCCTGCAATGGACTTGGGTCCCATTCACGTAACTTTCCCTTTCATTGTGCAGCTTTAAACTGACAGTTTGAATTGGCACACAGTGACCAACTGTGCAAATAAGTTTGTCAAGCCCCAGAATGCGCAAGAGCTGTTCTATACAATACTGTGACAACACTCATAGAACATTGATAGCCTACCAGTCTATGCAAAACAAATTAGGCCACATACATCCAGGAAAAAGAAAGAAAAAGAAAACTATCTGAGGTACTTTTTATTTGCATTATTCTTCATTTGAAAGGAAAAGCTAAGGACCGTATCACTTCAGATTAGAGAAAACACATTTAAAATATTTCCCCATATTAGAAAAGAAAGCATGCTGCCCTTCTGAATGGCCCCTCTGTCAGACTAGTTTTTAGATGTCCTTTTTACAGTCTATACATGGTAATTTGGGCTCATGATGGTGTCAGGGCAGTTATATGTGATGACATTTTCAATACTGTCTGTGCCTATAAAAGTCTTGGGGTGGACATACTGCTTCATTTCTGATGTCCTGTAGCTTCCTGCTGAAATACTGCAATTTTCACACATTTTTTTTTTGGGGGGGGGGGGGAATCAGGCAAGTGGCTCGCCCTGCTTGTATTGCGCCATAGTGTCCTTCCAGACTGAAATGATTCCCTAACACTGGGCATCATTGTAGAGCAGCCTTTCTCAAGCTATGGGTCGCCAGATGTTGTTGAACTACAACTCCCATCACCCCTAGCTAGCAAGGCCAGCGCTCGGGATGATGGGAGTTGTAGTCCAACAACATCTGGGGACCCACTAATGAAGTGGAATGGTGCATGGCTGGTCCAGTATAAATCCACTAATTTGTTATTATTGTGTCAATGGCATGTTGCAGAATTACACCTAGGAAGAAGAAGAAGCAAGTCAGCCAGTGAGGGGCGCGATGGCATAGTTCTCTGGCTTATGTCCTTCATGTAGGGAATATTTTATAGCTGAAGATTTGTGGGTGATGGCATTGCCTTCACTCCAGAGTATCTTCATTTTACCTTAGTGGCACCACCATGTAGCCAAACTCTGGATTGGCTACTTGATTGATTGATTGATTGATTGATTGCATTGCATTGCATTTATATGCCACCCTTCACCCACAGACCACAGGGTGTTTCACAACGTAAACATGATGGCCTTAATTACTGCTAGGAATACGGTGAACAATTTGGGGCTGGGCGGTAGAGAAAGCTGTGAAAAGGCTTGCTCTGAAGCATCACCATTTTTGCATGTGTTCTGAATGTGTCAAGGGAATGCACTTCCAATAGGTCAACATTTACATGCTCTTTCATTTCTCTCCCTTCTCCCCCCCCAAAAAAAAATTGTACTAGATGAAACACTGTTTGCAAAAGGAAAAATCTTCATGCAACTTCCCCCGCTTTTCAACACGTGAAAACCTATTCAAATAAGAATGGCTAACATTTGACCAGATACGTGATTTTTATCAGGAGCGTACAAAATGAATGGGATAAACAACAACCAAGAGGATTATCTTATATCTGCTTCTGTTTAATACCAACATGAAGCCATTGGGAGCGGTCATTAGGAGTTTTGGGGTGAGGTACTATCAGTATGCCGATGACACTTAGTTCTATTTCTCAATGAGTTTTTAATCAGGAGAGGCTGTTAAGTTCCCAGGCCATTTCCAGGATATAAATGATGAAATAGGTAAGAAAAAACCAGCTGAGCTTGAATCCTGTGCACATGACACTTTACACAGAACAGATGCAACAGCCCCCCCCCCAAGTGGCCTACAATCCAAAAGAGACATATAGAAGCGAAAGGGGAAGAGAGGGGAAGCAAGGGTCAAATGTGTGATTATTACAAATATTTTGACTTAATTACAATAAGGTATCAGGACTAAGGGGGTGAGGCAGTGCGAAATTCAGAGCGAACAGAAGAAGAAAAGCAAGGATAGAGGCAATGAATAGAAATAAAATTAGGTGAGAGATGGACTCACTCCAGTAAAATGTTGTGGGGGAAAATAGTACAACTAGATTAAAATCTGATAAACTCATCATCAGATTATTTGATCAAAGGACAGAATGAATCTGGCACACCATCAAAGACCTTAATATTCTCCCACCCTCATTATCTAGACTCTCACCTGATGCGTTTTCTCCCTACAACCACTTGCTTAAGTACTCTTCCATTTCCCATTCTCCCTAGCTGAAATGGCAGTCTCCAGACTTCACGAATCTGGGAACTTTGATGTTTTTCCTACATTCTGCCCCACCCTTAAACCCCACCCCTGAAGAATTTTCTAATGATTGTATGCCATACATTTCAGGAACAAGTAAAGGTAAAGGGACCCCTGACCATTAAGTGCAGTCGCGAACGACTCTGGGGTTGCGGCACTCATCTCGCTTTACTGGCCGAGGGAGCCAGCGTTTGTCCGCAGACAGCTTCTGGGTCATGTGGCCAGCAGGAGCAAGTACACAAAGCCAAAGCCAATAAGCGTAATAAAATTATGCTTTAAGGCGATTGTCAATAATAGTTCACTTTTTTGTTCTAATGTTTAGTTAGCAGTTGAATGTTATCTATATGAACTGTTTATGGTCATATATCAATGCTTCATATTCAAGTATAAATGTTATGAATGTTGTAACATCTACTATGCAGGTAACCATGGCACTTTGACAACATTAGGAGTTACATTAAATTTATACAATCCTTAATATAATAATATAAAAAAGAACAACAAATAACTTTTAAGTCTAGATTTAAAAGCCTCTGTAGTCCAAGCTTGTTTCATTTCAATAGAATGATCTCAAAGGCTAGACAACAGAGCAACTAAAGGCTCTGATGTTTAAATTCTCTCTCCTATTATGTTATAGGATTGACACCAGTCTACAATAAAACTTTCCAACAGAATGGAAAGTCTATTCCAGAACGGAAAGTGACCTCTATTAGGTTTGGGTTTGTAACCAGAAACTTCTACTGTACAAATATGAAATACATAGGTACATTAAGAAGCATTAAAAAGCCTCAAATTCACTACAAATATTGTCAGCTGAGGAAAACTGTACAATATCTTACAGTACACACGATTAAAAAAAACCCCCTGACATGTTTTCTACCATATACAACTTCTGTAGCCCCTTCCCTTCCATTAATGATAATTTGTTGTTTTATGTTGGACTCCTTATCTATCCCACAATGATACTGCTTTTCTATTATATCTTTACAGTCCTGAAATGTTTATATTCATCTATTCAGCTCAAGATGTCTAGTTGGTGGCTTTACAAGAAAAAAAACCCCACATGCCACAAAATTCTTTCTTCTAGTACAGATAATGGGTAGGAGCCAAAGTGTTTCCCTCCCTGAGGATTCAGGTGATGATGAATAGGAGGAAGAGACAAATGGTTATCAGAGGTCTTCCACTCAAGCCCTGGACCAGGAGCTGAGCCTTTCTGATGAGAATCTCCCTCTGGAAGTCTCACAGACCCCCTCTTCCTTGGTTTAGTGGGAGGAGGTGGAGTTATCCAATGCCAGGGAAGCCCCTTCAGTGCCAGAGGAGAGAGCTCCATGGCACGGACTGAGCTGTCAAGGGAGAATGAAAGTCATTTATTGTCTCCGAAGCAATGACAGCACCTCCACAGGCAGGGGCAGACCCAGTTTCCAAGAAAGAGGGCCTGGCTAGGTCTGCACATCTGTTTAAAGGGGGACAGGGTAGATGCGGCCAATTGTTGGAACAGCTTCATGCTCATTCATGCACAGTCTCAGACTGCAGCTCCTGAGCCTGCAAATCTGGCTTCTGAAATGCATTTGTCCCTGAAATGCATTTAGGGAACCCTAAAGCTTGGTTTGATTTATGCTTCATCGCCGATGTCCAGGGGCATCTGAACTAATTTCTGCTCTTCTCTTGTTGCTGAGTTTATGCTGTCTGAATAAAACTTGGCTTCTTACTTCCAAGAAAGTACACCTGTTGTTGTTCTTGGGTGGCAGCCAGGACAGTTCCTTCTGTGAATGAAAGAGCTGCTTCTATTCATGGAAATGAATGAGATTTGTAGAGGCTGCCTATTGGAGGAAGCAGGGGCAGCAATTTTCACCCATTTTCTCTTCTACCTGCAGCTGCCTGTGCTGTTCTGGGGGATCACCCAAGCCACCAGAGAAGGCTTTCAAGGGGCACAGAGAGAAAAGGGATAGGCAAAACCTGCCTTTACCCCCTCCTGCAGTGTGAGCAGAACTCTGATGAACATAAGTCAATTTCCAACCCATACTGGTGAGACAAATCATTGTCTAGGAAACTGGGAGCCAAATGTAGGATTTTCACGTTCTTGTAACCATAGTAAGTATTAACCATATTATCATTCATACACAAGCAATGCTAAACTATGATTAAAGGAAGAGAAGGAAAGAGAAGTGGGTTTGCTCTAAAGAAGGAAGTAGGAAACCTTGGTTTGCAGAGAGTCGAAACATCATGCCTTCACTTCAGTGAGGCTATCTATCACCCACCTCTATGAAGACAGAAACGGTAGTTTCTATTATGAAAGCAATTTTTGCATCTAAGATGACTGAATAACAGGCGTTAATCATTCGGGATGATCAGAAATGTAAACAGTGGGGGGAGTGATTAACCTAAAGTAAGCAACATTTTTTTCATTGCAGTGGCAGATGTAACGAATGTCATACTTCACAGAAAATGTATCAGTGTTAGGTGTGATCAAGTGAGTGTAGGTAGTTATGATTACTAGTACAGCTAAAATAGCTCTCCTCGTACTGAGTTTGGTATTTTTTGCAATTTGGGAGTGGAGGGGAATCATCCGATACACACTTATCTGGGAGTAAGTCCCATTGAACTCTGTAGGGCTTCTGAGATGACGCATATAGGATTACTCTATCAATGTTCTATCTTATCTGCACTGGACCTGAAATAATTTTTTCATATCCATTACTTTGGGTGAGAGCTACTACATGTTTAAGCCATTTCACAGGTCTATGGTTTACTCGGGCTAAAATTAGCTCTATTTGACAACACAGTAGCAACCCTTCAGGACAGCTGGGCCACAATGTTGTGAAAACACTGTCAAATATTATTTTAAAGTTCCCACATAAAATGAAAACAGAGGTTTACAAATTAAAAACAAATAGCAAATTAATGTACACAGCTTACAGCACTAGTATATTTAACAGAAATTATTGTTGAAATAAGCTCTGTGCTTGTGTCTGCTGTATAGAACCTGAACCAAGACTCTCAAAGTTCTGCGCTCCCCCTGCAACTCTCTAAAACACAAACTAGCACGTGTTTGTTCTGTATGTCTCGGGTCCTACTACAACTCTTGCAAAAGCCACCTCACGGCTGGGCAGGTAAAACTGATTTTTTCATTATAGTGCAAGCATGTGCAGACATATTACACTGCTTACACTAATTGCAATTGCTTTTTTCAACCCTCTAAGAAACTATATATAAAATAGTAAAATTGTCATCTATGTAGTGCAGGTTTTTTTTTTAATCCAAAACAGAAAGTATCTTGGAACCAGTCTGTTGTTCATGTAGAAGAATATGTATTCTCCTTCCATGGAAACATAGCTCAGATATACTTCTCGGTTCTTTTTCCTGAACAGAACAAACAGGGCAATAAGCAGAGGAGCAAAATTACGCTTGGTGCAAACTAAAATCCATAGGGGCTAAAATACTTTGTAATTGGTATGGGCATTATATAATGCTGGAGTTCTCATATACAGGTACATGAGCACCGTCATCGGGTCTTACTGCCGCTGAGCTTCCAGATTTTTAGGAACCATTTTGCATTCGAGGTTGCTGAAAGGAAATTTGACCTGGAAAGTATCAAAGGGAATATTATTTTTAGGGGTATGTATTGGCTCTGTGTGATTTCCAGAATTAGGAGGTTAAACAGGGGTGGGGTCCCCATTTTCCCAAATCAGAATGCACTCTTAAAATGGCACACCAAGCTGGATCAGAGCCTCCCTATCCTGACTCACTTTGTGAACTTCAGTGCTTAAAAATACTGCATTTCTAATGTAAATTCTGTGTCTTTTTAGAAAAACCAAACTAACTATGGAAAATAACTATGGAGGTTGTGGAGAGGCGAGAGGAAGATCCTTAATTTTGACAGACAGCTCTAGGTTTTAATGAGAGAATTATTTTTCAGAGTGATTTGGGAGAAGGATGTTGAAATAAATATTAAACACTGTGCTTGCTTTTTACTTGAATCTATGCTTTCCCCCTCCTCCACTACCTATACACGTCAGTGGTGATACCTCTCTCCTATAGGAAACACGTTCTATTGCAAAAAATCTATTGTTCTTTTTGGGTGCTGGGAAAAGTCTGTCACCCCATCAACTATTATTGTGATAAAAGGGTTGACATTTTTCCCCACTTCAGACTTTCCTGGGGATCCTCTGCCATTGCATTTAGCCACCCCCAAATAGTAAAGTCTGGGGGTGGAGAATGACTTGTAGGACAATGGCTGCATCTCTCATTCTGAAATGTAGCAGGCTTCATCTCTTCAGAAATAGTGGCCATGCCTGCAACCTACATCTGTGTCTTGTAAAAAAATAAAAGTTTTTTTTTTCTTTTTAAAACAAAGTTTTAAAAGTGCCCTGCATTAAAATGCCTTGATGTGTCTGCCTTTAAGGTTTAATCTAGAGGGGCTCTTTTGCTTTCAAATTTCATCCACTTCTGTGAAAAAGAAAAGTTATAACCATTTTTGAATTCCCCATTAGAGTGAAACGGGTGGGAAGGAAACAGAGCTTCATTTTTTAACAGATCTAATCTGATGAATTAGATCTGAATTGGAAAGGCACAGAGCAGTTCTGAAACAGATTGGGCTGCTTCCCAAAGCTACAGATGCAAGTTGAATCTTGTGACTGGTGCACACCTCTAATTATTTTACCCTCATGAATATGGCATTATTAATGTTTCTTCACATAAAAATACTGAAAATGGCTTATCTAACAAGTCAGGAGAAAGTACTAGAACATTCCACAGGAGAACAAGCTAAAATGTCAATATGGAGGAGAATGGAAGTGTCCCAAACATAACACATCCATTCTTAAGAATTAGGAGCAGCATCAATAAAAAGTAGAAGAGCAAGACAGAATTTTAAGGCCACTAGATATTCTTCTACTATTCTGGCCATGTGCATAAATTTATTGTAAACCTAATATTTTTTTTAAAAAAATGAATGAGGGGATAATTACGAAAGTTTTCTTTCAAGCGTGTCTGTAATCTAACTCCGGTGGTTAGTACTTCCATGGTTGCTCAGGGGTAAAAGAGGAGAGGGAGAATCAAAGGGTGGGATTGCAAAAGAGAGTAATTGGAAGGTCTTAATAAACCACATTTGTGTTGGTCGATTTTCTTACTATGTTCCAGTGGGATACCCCTTTAGTTTCTTTCCCCATTACTATCCTCCACTCAGAACTTTGTTTTACTCTTGCCTGGCATTATTTTGACGAAACAGGCAAGAGAATTCTGATAATCTGATTGGTTACAGGATGTTGTTATTCTACGGATAGTGTGGAAATGGACACACCACCAACTTTATCTAAGCAATTACAGATGGGCAAGCACCATCCCCCACAAACTTGCTTCGTAATTAACTCATTTTACGTAAGCTTTCTCTGAGAACTCTGACAAAATAAACAAACAGATCTTGAGGTCTTTCTGAGAGTTCGCCAATAAATCCTGAAAACACAAAAACAGAGAAAATTTTCCTCACCACCACTATTTCCATTAGCCCAACGTTCCCAAAACACACCCTGGCAAACTGCAGACAGAGGCAGGGAGCAATTCGGCAACAGTAAAGGAGTATTCTTTAAAGCCTAGAATAATCTATTGCTATACGTAAAATGCTCCCCACGCCTCCCAGCTCCGTCCGTTAAGCAGATAAGCACTGGGAACTTTGTTTCCCAGTCAGGAATGGATGCTGTAGCAGAGCCATGTAGAATTTTAAAGTCCTCTCTCACTTCAGCCCTCCTTGCTTGTAGCACCTCTTTTTGGCAAATACAAGAGAGTTTTGAGAGAGTCATAAAAAAGCCCCAATTTTTAGAACTGGAAGATTTGGGCTCAGCTCATAGTAGTTTCTTGTTTCTGTTTCTCAATTTCAAATTTAGATAATATCACTATAATCAATAGTCTACAGCCTTTTAAATGTGTCTGTGGGAATGGGGAGCATTGTTTTGTGTTTTGGTTTAATTGCTTACTTGTGTTTTATCTTTGTATTTTATTCTGTGAACCTCCCTGGTATCTTTTGATGAGGGACAGTATATACATTAATCAATCAATCAATCAATCAATCAGGAAATGTGACTCAGAAAGAAACATCTCATCACACAAGCAGACATGCAAGCTAGGGTCCTTGATTTACATTGGCCCATCAATTTATACTTTGCAGATGCCCCCCTCCCTTTTTTTAACATAGGAATTTTTAGAAAACGACAACCTTCTTGTAAAATATTCTATTCAAGGATAAAGTTGCTTGGAATGATGGGGGGGGGGGACCCTGAAACGTATAAACATCTGTAAAGGTGATATAAAAAGGCTGTGTTGTGCATAAAAATGCACTGTAATTTAATGATATCACAAGGCCATTCTAGAGCTTGAGGCAAGCGGTGTATATTGCTGCTCTTTGACACAATTTGATTTTGCTAATGAAATAAAAACGCCTCCTTTAAAAGCTTTAAGGGATGTGAAATACCAGGCCTTAGACAACAGAATCGGCAACTACCTGTTCCAAACCCTCAAGCAAAAATTGCCTAATGGCCTGCTGATAGAGATGTCTATCTTGGGATATGGGGAGAGGCGGAGGCAAGGATTAGGGTTGTAGTACCTTGTCAGTTTTTACAACAATGGGGGAGAGAGGTTAGCTTTTAGAGCATTTTCCTATTAGATTTTTTTTTTTTAGGATTCCCTTATGCCAGAGTTCAAGCTGAAATCACAAATCTGGTTTTTACCATTATTACAACTGCTGAGATATAAAATGACTGATGCTGTTGAAGCGTTGTGAACACATGTAGGTGCACACACAGCAACATGTGAACTCTTCAAGTTGAACATTATTTTCTATGGTTGAAGTATAGTTGAAGGCCAATTATGTAATATGTAGAAGACTGAGGCAGTCAGTACCTATATACCATAACCAGGAATAAGTTTTGGTTTCGTGTTTTGGGGGGGCCTTTGGGCAAGATAGTCCTCTTTTTAAGTGGGCACACCTTTTCCTCAGCACTATTGCCCATTCCCTTGCCTTCTTCCTCTCGGATAAATCCATACAGGAAGAGGAAGAACGTAAGGTGAATGGAGGATGCTGCTCCACTTCTTCAGGCCTATTCAGAACATGAGGCAAGGTCAAGCGACCACCTCAGGGAGTGGAATCCTCAGAGGCAGCAGAATGTATGCACTCTAAAGCATGTATTGCCAACTGCTCATGCTGCAGTAGCAATGGTTGTCGCAGGCTCCTTGAAGGCCAGATGTGCTGTCCCCTCAGTGTCAGCCCCCCTCCCATGCTGCGTCTATGCAGAGGACACTGCTGATCTCCTCCCACCTCCTAGCGGGGGCTGCCCTATTCTTGGGCTCTGCACCCACCCAGTGCTATTCAGAGTGGGCTTCTTTCCATCCCATGACAGCCTTTGATTCCCACTTCAACCATCAGTTGAGATTGATTTCATTCCCACCTCCACCCCCCATTCCTGATACAGTGGTACCTCGGGTTAAGTACTTAATTTGTTCCAGAGGTCCGTTCTTAACCTGAAACTGTTCTTAACCTGAAGCACCATTTTAGCTAATGGGGCCTCTCGCTGCCGCCGTGCTGCCAGAGCACGATTTCTGTTTTCATCCTCAAGCAAAGTTCTTAACCCGAGGTGCTATTTCTGGGTTAGCGGAGTCTGTAACCCGAGGTACCACTGTATAGAACTTCTCTCACCCCCTTGTTTCTGATGTAGATATTTATCCCCCCCCCCCCGGTTCCTGATGTAGATCTGTGCTCACTTCTTCTTCCCTGGTGTGTGTGCCATTTTGTTGTTCACCTCAGGTGCCCAAATGTCTCAGGCCAGCCCTGTTCCTCTGCCACTACTTCCATGCTCATCAAAGCAGCTGCAGTCAGGAGAAAGAGCCTAGGACTTTGAGTCTCCAGGGAATTGACAGCAGGCCCCTTGCATGTTCTACGCATTGGCTGGTGCCCAGCACTACAGACCTGCTCTCCCCTCTCAATGCCTTCCCTGACAGGCATACATTGGTCAGCTGCTGAACAGAGAGATTACTCTTAGTGGCTTCACTGGTGTATCCGCATTGTGCCAATCTCCCCACCCTTCGCTTCTCCTTCACACCCTGCTCTGTCCCATCCTAAAGGTAAAGGTAAAGGACCCCTGACAGTTAAGTCCAGTCGCGAACGACTCTGGGGTTGCAGCGTTCATCTAGCTTTACTGGCCGAGGGAGCCGGTGTTTGTCTGCAGACAGTTTTTCTGGGTCATGTGGTCAGCATGACTAAGCTGCTTCTGGCGAAACCAGAGTAGCACATGGAAACACCATTTACCTTCCCACTGGAGCGGTACCTATTTATCTACCTGCAGTCTGACGTGCTTTCAAACTGCTAGGTTGGCAGGAGCTGGGATCGAGCAATAGGAGCTCACCCCGTCATGGGGATTCGAACCGCCGACCTTCTGATCAGCAAGCCCTAGGCTCAGTGGTTTAGACCACAGCGCCACCCGCGTCCCCTGTCCCATCCTGAGAGCTGCTTATGTTTAGTGGCAGATGCCCACCTTGCTTCTCAAGTATTTGTGTTGATATAAGCATAATTCTTTACAACACAAAGCATTTCACATAATTTAAGGCATTAGCAGGAATACCTGGCACTGGGAAAGAGGAAAGAAGTGGTTATAATTCAAACTGCTATCCCTGTCACCAAATTCAACACATCTCATTGGCGTCAAGGCAATTAACACTACCAAGACTTGTTCTTCCTATCTTGTGCAGACCTATGGAGCACAGTTTATACATTAACATGGCCCTACCTTGGAGAAGGAGAGTGTCAGCACCTTGTCCCCAACCCTTCTAAAGTTTGAATGCAAAATTAAGCACTCTTACAAAACTTTATATACAGATCCTGATTGTCTAGACCTTGATAATGAATTCTAATAATCCACCGAAAAGCATACATGCAGTCACTATGTTGCACTTTGTAAGTTATCTTGTACTTCTTTATGCAAACAATATGTATGAGAACAACAGGGCAATATTACTCTCGATCAACCTGCTGTGGAGGTAAGAAGTTATTTTGCACAACTGCTGTATGCATACTTTCTAGTGGATAAACAACGGCATCTCTCACAACATTCTAGTACAGTGGTACCTTGCAAGACGAATGCCTCGCAAGACGAACAACTCGCAAGACGAAAGAGTTTTTCCTTTTTTGAGTTGCTTCGCAAGACGAATTTCCCTATGGGCTTGCTTCGCAACGTCTTGCAAGTTTGTTTCCTTTTTCTTAAAACCGTTAATACCGTGCTTCGCAAGACGAAAAATTCGCAAGACGAAAAAACTCGCAGAACGAATTAATTTCGTCTTGCGAGGCACCACTGTACAGAGGGGGCAAAAGATAGAAAACGCCCATTTCTAATATTGCAACTTTCTCCTTGCTCCCCGCCCTTAATTCAGACTAGACCAAATAAACATCAGCTTTAGTTTCCACTGTTTCATGCATGCACAGAAATAACAAATTAAAGCCCAGGCACTTGCTTCACAAACCACACACAATGATTATACCAAAATCAACTAAGAGTTTTGTGGTATCTCAAAGGCCAGCACATTTATTATGCCATAAGTTTTTGTAGATTAAGAGTCCAGTTTATCAGATGCATGAAATGTAATCCTCAATTGGCAGGTATTTATTACACAGATGGGACGCGGATGGTGCTGTGGGTTAAACCACAGAGCCTAGGGCTTGCCGATCAGAAGGTTGGCGGTTCGAATCCCCGCAAAAGGGTGAGCTCCCATTGCCAACCTAGCAGTTCGAAAGCACGTCAAAGTGCAAGTAGATAAATAGGTACCGCTCTGGTGGGAAGGTAAACAGCATTTCCGTGTGTTGCTCTGGTTTGCCAGAAGTGGCTTAGTCATGCTGGCCACATGACCCGGAAGCTCCCTCGGCCAGTAAAGCGAGATGATCGCCACTACCCCAGAGTCGTCCGCAACTGGATCTAATTTTCAGGGGTCCCTTTATTACACAGATGCAGAAGTGTAAAAGTTGGAGTTAAACAGCAATGAAGTAGAAAAAGGATGCTCTGTGATAATTTGGTTCTTACTCTCTTTTTTTTTGCATTTCATTGCCATTTGACTCCCAACTATTACCTTTCCCACTCTTTTATGTCCATGTGTATAAATACCTGCCAACTGAGGATTACATTTAATCCACAAAAGGTTGCGCCATAATAAATTTGTTAGTCTTTATGGTGCCACAAGACTCTTCTGTGTTTTTACTGCAGGGAGACCAACACAGCTATCCCTCTGGAAATGATTATAACTTCATTCCAAAATTATTGTTATAAAACAAACACATTTTAAATCTATTTTTGAAGCCAAACAGTTTATAGGAAAAAAGTAATCAAACTAGGGTTCTTCCCTATATATCTATATCTAAATAAGCTCAAATATTCTTTACAATGATTAGGATGAAATGCAAACTAAAAAAAACCCTGGGGAGGAAAGCAAAGCAGAGCTGATGTGCCCCAAGAGCTATAAGTTAATTTTGCTTGGTGCAAGGAACCTTGATAAAATGGATCATCGGCTTTTATTTATTCATTCAAAAAGTCATTATGGCTGTTAGGAAAGTCTTAAGAACTTGACAGCCATATAAATACATGGAGCAAAACCCCAGAATCATACAAGCTACAAAAATTTTTTTTAAAAATAATTATGGGGTAAATTAAGCTTGATTGGCAATGGCCATAATTCTTCATAGCTTCTGATGCAAAGTATGGTTTTGGATCCATCCAAACCCATCTCAGCCATAGATGGGGCCCTCTTTTCTCTCCTCATGGTGCTTGTGTCTGGGATAACTCAACAAGGTAATATCCTTCATTACAAAACTATTAATCCTTACCACAAACAGATTGTCTCTTTTAGGTGTAACAAAACCAGCATCATGAACCATGCAAATCAAACTGAAATACAACATTTCCAATATATATATAATGTTATATCCTGGTTTTGCCATATAAAACTTGGAAGATATAGACTGATCTAAATTACTGTAAAATATGTATTGTTTTCCAGATTCTTGATTTCAGTGCTCTCAAGTGCACTTACAGTAAAAATTATTTCTTTATATAATTGCAGCTTATACTGGGAGTGCTACATAAAGGTACAGATATAAGCAAATATAGCTTAGCATTGCATCATATCTACATTTGTGGACAAGCTGCAACTAGATTGCAATAAGATACCAAAATATGTAAAATGCTGCCTCTTCAGATAACTGACTTGCACGTCTCCTGCCTTCACGTTATCAGATAATGTTGTAAAGTGACTACATTTCTGTGCACTCTTCCAAGTAAATCTCAAGGAAAGAAAGTAAACTTACTTATGAGTAAACATGCATCATGTTGTGTTGCATATTCTCTAAAAATGTGCAGACAGTTTAAGAACAGTTCACAAAGGACGCATATATGCATACGAGCAATGTATATTCACAACATGCGTCCTATTCTTTCTCTGGAAACCTCCCCTTTTCACACGATTCTCGCACATTTTTCCAGGTACTGAGCTGTATGTGACCTCCTTAACTTCAACGTCCACACATGCATCCAGAAAGCTAAGGAATGGTTGTGCACAGTTGAGTCTTGCAAATATACTGCTGGAATAGTTTCTAATTACTAAAAGTAGCAGTGATTGATTCCTCTATAAAAGCCACACTCTAGTGTATCTCTGAAGCTTATATATCGTATTTTTCCGCTTATAAGACTAGGTTTTCCCCCCTAAAAAATAATATCAAAAATTAGGCGGCGTCTTATACTCTGAGCCATCTCCCCCCATTTTCTTAAATCTGAGTCCCCCAAAATATACATGGGGTGTCTTATAGACGGGAAAATACGGTCCTTCCTAAATACCCATGTTCTGTCTAAATAAACTTATTCTAAAGGACTTTCAGAAAGGGAAGAAGATGGGTTGTATATAATGGTGCTCCTCTGCTGATTGAGTGCACTTTTGATTCAGTCAGTGGAAGAGGGGGAGGGAAGGTGATTTTTCATGGATTCCCTTTCTCCCCCCCCCCAGCCCCCCCAATCTCCCCCAGAGAGTTGGGGGGACCCTTTGAAGCAGCAGGAAAGGTGTTATAGGAAATAGGGGACACTGGCAAAAATCACTTTCCTTGACAATTCACTGATGGAAACCTCTGCTGAATCAGAGAAGCTTCTGTCAGCAGAGGCACATGAGCTATATTTTAAATATATAAAATGTCCATTTTGATTATAAATTATTTATATGAAATTGCTTTACTATAGGCAAGATAATTCTGAGTAACAAAAGATCCAAGCTCAGGCAAGATTTATGTGGAAACAAGACCCATCCATTCCAGTACGATTCACTTCCAAGTATGTATTTTTAAGGCTGATATCCTAAACACAATAAAAATCCAGCCACCCTACTGACCCAAATGTAATAAAACCTATAGATAAACCAACAATTCGGCTAGAAATAATCACAGAGCTAGAATAGAAACTAATAAAATCTGTAGCTCAGGAAATGATCAGCTTAATTCTTGTCCCTGCCATGGAATATCGAGGATGCCTTTGGTTTCCTCAAACCGACAGATTTTAGCCTCTATCTACAATATTTAAAATAACAAGATTGTCTTGAGTTAAACAGTTGTTCGAAAGATTTCTGAACTAACATACTTTGTACATTCTGAAGCTAAGATTATTTCAAGCAGTTCAATAACGACTTGGGAAGCTTTGCATCATATAAATTAGCCATTCATTACTATTTACAAGTTATGCTTTAAAGGTCACAAAAGCCCTTTCTTAGCTAGTATGGGAGACAGTTCCCACTTGGATTGCCTGTATGGTTGCCCAATGGTGCATGAGACTATATTGTCTAATGCCTTCTACTCAGTGCTATTTTTCTAGAAAAAGAGGTGCCGGAACTCACTATGAACGCCTCCTTTGATCTCTTATAATAGCAATGGCGCTCAGCTGAGAGGTGCCTGGACTGAGTTCCAGTGAGTTCCAGCTGTGGGGAGAAAAGCCCTGCTTCTACCCATGAGTCGATTGGTGAAACCCGAATGTGAAGCCTCTTTTTCTATCTGACATCTCCACTGTTATTTGCTTCACTGTTCTGGGAATCTTGGCAAGCTGGTAGAAAAAAGTCTGGAGAAAAGCCTGATCAATTTCATGAGCAAAATGAATCTAATTTTTAAAATTGGGTATGTGGTTTGTGTGTATGCCCGCACACACGCACACACACTGTAGGCACAAGTAATAATAATATAATGAAATTTAGGTGAGGAAGCGTCAGTGAAATCGGCAACATTTTCCCTTCTTGGGTTGCACCAGAGAGCAAGTGGGTGGAGAATAGTGACTCAAATAGTCACTGGACACATGCCGCTGGTTACAGAAAAGAAAGGAGAAAGCAGGTAATCTTGCTTGTCAACAGTGACCAAAGAGGTATTTCTATACAAGGAAGAGAGGTTAAAATATGGAAATGAGCCATTCACATAATGGAATAACACTGGGCACTGAACTAAAAGGAAGCACTGCAAATAGAAAGCACCTGTTCACAGGTGGCACAAAAACAACACCACAGGAAAGCTGAAATGCAATTGATGCGCATGCAGGAAGGCACGTCTACAATATTTTAACAATCTGATTCTAGCACTGCGTTTATTTCGTGAAGGCACACCAACAGTGGGAAAGAGCTCAAAAGCACTTTTAAGTGGCATGTCTGGAATCTGTCTTGCTCATTATACTGTTATTATGTATTTGGATTTGTCCTAATAATTTTTTGTTTTTTCTTTTGTAGATGTTTAGAACACATCATACATTCACAGAAAACACTGAAGTGACTCTTTATTTTTATAAATTAGCATACTAAACTAGTTTGGTTTGATATAACACAACATTCAAATTCAGCAGCAGGTGTGACCATGTTTAACTACTGCCACACACCCAATGTGCTCTATTAACACAAGTTACAATAATGCAGTTCAAATATCTGACATAAAAAAGCACCGAACTCCAGCTTTGTATTGATATTATTTCAGTATGTCTTTCACAGGATTAAACCTGAATAGTTGTTTAAAAATAAATCCACTACATTTTAAGATCTGATGAGGCAGTAATGCAAATTTGCGTTTTTTGGGCAAGAGATTCCAGCGGCAACAGTCTGTAGAACCTCAAATCAATGTTGCCTGTGGTGTTTTATTATTTATTGCATGTTATGCTAAGTACCTGTGAAAGGGGACATTCCTTGGCCAATGAACTCTGGTTCATATCCTTCAGTAAGTCCTTCAGAGCATTTCTTACTGTTGTGTGAGACCATTGTTCAGGAGGCAAGTCTTCTAGTTTAGGGCAACTATTTGAGACATAGATTAGAAAAAGGATTATTACAAGATTGCATTCTGCTGCAGAACATTCCTTTAAGACAGACAGATTTCATTTTGTGCATCAAGCAGATGCATCTGGAGATTGCTCTCAGTCTCCTGATTGTTCCGATTAGTTAATTACTTTATACAACACATCTGCTGTATTGATGCATGAATTATACATCAGCTGCATGTGGCGACTATTTTTTCATGTTACTTCTACCTTCCTGCTCTGATGCGCTTGGTAAAACAATTTAAGGTGTAATGCCTTCTCACGACTGATCATGAAAAGAATTAATATATTAGCTTCCCCCACTTTTAGTTTAGCGAAATTTAAAAAACCTCGACAGCAACAATAAGAGCGAACAAGTCATTCTTTTTTTTTTCAAAACGCACACAGATGGTGCTGTTCATGATATGCAAAAATATTTTTCTCTTAAGTAAACTTTATGTAAAATGCCTTCTTGTAATGCATCATTTAATTGACTAAAATGCAATATACTTTTAATGAGATACCAAAAGGAAAGCTATGAATCGCAGCTTTGTGAATATAAGGTTTCTACAATATTTTGGGGCGTGGGGTGGGTCCCGAAGAACTGCAGTAACAAAAGAATGCAGGTATTATTCTGAAGGGTGGCCTGCCTTAACTCAGCAGGAACTGAATATTCACAATATATCAAATTCTAGACTGCCACCCTGCGTGACATACCTGTGCAACTGGATTTTCAGTGTGACCACGTGATAAACATCCTGCAGCATGTCAGCTACTGTAGCATCAGGGGCATCCGTCACATAGGAGAGAGGAACTGGGTTCCATTTCCCAACCTGGATTAGTCCTGCACCAGACAGAAAGATTACAGGAAAAGAGGTTTCAATCGTGGGGCTGGTAATTTTAAGAAAACAGGTAAAAGAACCCATGATTACGGGATTCTTTTATATTACACAGTTATTTTTAAAATTCACAGTCAACCACGTATGTCCTCTCCTCTTACATTAACAGATGAGCGGATATTGAGCGAGTTACTATACTGAAAAACATGCGTTTGTAAATTTCCCTGTAAGAAACAATAAGAGATGGCTCAGCCCTGAGCGGCGGGGGAAGGTTAACTTTCTCAACTGTCCACCTGCTGAAACGTATCTCTTCCTTATGGATCTTCAGTGGTATAGATTATTAAGGATTGTTACTCCACTGAAGGCATTTAAAAACAAAGCCATACTTCCAATGTTTCACACGAGCAAAATATATACTAAGAAAAATGCAATGCAAAATTTGAAATACACATTTTACATGGCTGCCGATTATAAGCAATAGCACAGCGTATCTGAAAATAAGGAATACCCTGTCCGCCCAGTCCCCCCACTAAAAGTAAATGAAGACTGTTTTGCAATTTATCAAGAAATGTTTACCTTTTGCTTGAGCAGCAGAGCTATGAGAATATCCAAGCGACAGCAATGCCATTTCAATCAGCTGGTTGAATAGCATGTCCTTCCTTACCAAAACAAATTCTGCATGCTCTTCTTTGCAATCATACTCAATGGAGTTTTCATAATGTTCCACTACACAGAAAACTGGAAGCATGGTTCCTGTAACACAACAATTTTAAGAAATCAAAATTTCCTTGTTACTTACATGTACTTTCCGAATGGGTTGTCAAAGAAATGCTATGCAGCTGAAATCCTACCCACAGATTCCTGCCAGATATAGGCTACATCACACGCATACATCTACAAAATGCTGTAACAGGTGTATGTACAGGTCTTGGTCTGCTCTAGAATTCAGTACCTGCTTATAGAAACAGTGAGGTTGGCTGCAGAGAAATAATGTTGGTTGTCCTATCTGATTTGTTGTGAGCGTCTGCAATGTGACTACTTAAATACATACTCTGCAGAAGCCTTCAGAGCAAGCCATTGCAATGCCATCAACATAATTCTGTTTACAATAAAACTTCCCTAGTAGTGCCAAAAATACTGAATTACTAATTGTCACAAAATTTCACCTTTGTCTGGCTGTTCTTCAAATTTCACATTTACAAAACAGTGCAAAAGACACCCCCCAAAACCCAAAACCCACCCAATCTAATGCTAATTGTTTTTACTGTTTGGAAATAAGCAGGACACACTCAAGTTACATCTAACAAGATACACATTCTGGAAAGAAAAGAAAAGAAACACACACACCTACACAATTCTAATTATGTCACATTTACTGTAACCCAAGTTACTGCCATTATATGTACTTTCAGCAGCTAACTAGTAAAAAAATAAATACTGTGCCATACATGTGTGCACATAATTAACTTCCCTTTTTCTTTTTAAATTAATTTCAAGGGACTATTTTTACATTGCTGTGGTCCCAATGTATCAAGATGAAGAAAAGGTTTATAAATCATACATCACATCTCTCATTGATCTCAATGAGATGACAGCATTGCCAGTGAAACAGGCTAGGCCTTTTTTAAACATCGGAATATTTGTGGCTCTTAAAATTTCGCTTTCATTTGAGCTAGATTTGGAGTAATAGCCCACTGTTCACGCAGCACCGTACAAGTATCACTCACTTGCTATTGGAAGGAGCTATTCTTGCGAAATTACAACTGATGACTTAAATGAGAGGGAAGTTGCATGTAAATATAAACACCTACATCCCACTAAGCCAGAGGCAGAACTCTGGCTACCTACAGTGATGCAGATCAGACCCCTTTACTGACAAGATTTGAAAGGGTTAAACAGCCGCTACACGGGAGATGTCTCATGGCATATTGCCAGGAGGGCATAATCTTTAGCATAAATGATGGCAAAGGTTACTTTAACAGGGCGCCCAGGATCGCCAATTAGTCCTACAACGTTAATGCCTCTGTAAGCACTGCCCTATCTACATTTACAGAAGTCATCCAATCCTGGAAAAGGTATATAACGCATACTGCATTTGTAAAAGTGATTTATCGAAGACATTGAGGTAACTTGAACTATAGAATCTCTTTGTTCATTTGGTTCTCTTACACATACAGTAGCAGATTACAGCGAAAGGCTCCGTTTGAATTACCTCTGCACTGAGCAGTTCACCACCAGAGAAATCAGTTTGGCAAATCAATCCTTTCAGGGTTGCTCAGAGAGATGTACAAGCTTCTCTTGGTTTGCTGAATAGGTTCAGCACAGACCACAAACCTAAACATTTGCCAATAATTTGCATCTTATATAGCAAGATGCTTCAGGAAGTTGTGTTTGGTTTGTTTGTTTTTTAAAAAAAGACTAGAGCATGAATATCATAATGTAAATTGCTGGTTTCTTCCTTGGTTCACTTGTCAGAGCTTGGATAAAATCTGCTTCACAATATGCTTTGACCCATCACTACCCAAATACACAAAGCATGGGAGTAGGGGACAGGATGGGATTGGAACGACTATTAAAAGCCTAACTGCAGAATCTGCACAGATTTTTGCATGCTTTAGAAATACAGTATCAACTTGTGCTTACTCTATACTTCCCTCCTACTGACCGCAAAGTAAGAAAATTACATTATTTGGGGGGGGGAGTAGACAGCCTCCCAACTAAAGCACCCTGGATTTACCCCCAGCTGTGCTAAATACAGATTTATTGTGGTATTTTGTATTATAATGGGGAAGTCAGTGTTGTTATTGTGTGAAAGGCCTGCAAGCTCCAGCACTTAAAACACAAATGCCCTTCTCAAAGAAGCAGCGCCTCTTCTTGACTAATCTTTTGATATCCCCCTGTAGCTACCAAAAGGTATCATCTGACTACAGATGTTAAATCTCAACAACCTGTCACAAGTGCCCTTCTATTAAATGTGAAAAATGCTAGACAGGAGGCCACAATCTCAGCTAGCTGATCACTCTTGCAAGTACTTGGCAAGATCTCCAAGTGCAGCAACTTTATAACCTTCTAGTATTAAAGGGGAAAGCACTGGTCAGTGCTCAATGCTAAAAATACAGCATGATTTAAACCTGAAGGCAGTGTTAGAGGTTTTGCCGAAGGTTTATGAGTCTATGTAAACAGCACGTCTACCATAAGAAGCAGAGAAGTCTGTAGAATCCTTGTCTAAAACTGTCCTGGCATTAAAGTTTGCTGTGCAAATATCACATAATACCAGAGACAGCTGAAATCTCCTATTTAGGAATTTATGGAACTTATATGTTTGCAGGCGTCAGAAAGTCTTTTTTATATAGCCCCAGTGCTTCACAGCATAATATTAATGCACTCTGTTTAAAAAGCAGCAATAAATTATATTTTTAATGCCTTACCCTGGCTTTCTTAAGATGCATACATTCTTGGCAAACAATCAATAAATAGGGTAATCATGAGCAGAGGCCAAAGAATTTGCTGAAGTGCTGTTTTTCCATTTTTAATAGATACAGATCTAACAATACGGACTGCTGTGTCTGTTCATTCCAAGATCAATATATTCTTTGTTTTCGCCAATCCAAGGAAAAAATAAATGATTGTATGATAAATGTTATGCATCAGAATGAAATGCCATTGCCTTCTAACTCTCTGTGTTTAATTGTCTTGGTTAAATTTTGTATTTTGCTTAGTAAATGCAAGAAGAAATCTGAATTATAAACTAGTAGCAATTATACTGAGAAAAGGAGTGCTAAAACAAAAGCCAAATTATATACAGTACATCTAGATATAAATTAACATGACTGTTGTGTATGATCCACAAAAATCATGTATACTATTAATTTTACTTTAAAATATTCATAATACAAGACATAACGCAGACACACACATACCACAATCAGTCACCGGCTCTAAAAGTGTCTCTTTCTTGTGAGAACGTCTAATTACAGCAAACCAGTCATTGAACAATATGACACCCAAGTTGTTCATTGCTCAGTAATGAATTGTACTTAAGGAAACAAAGTGCGAAAAATGGTCATCATAAAGGAGTTTTCCACTGAACACCAAAAACGCTTTGCATCACTTTCTTGAAGCCAACTAGCAAATGCAGTCAACCTTCCAATTTTGGACTCTTGTCAAGAGTAGAAGGAGAAATCTGGCTTTTCAAGAACCTATTATTAATTCACAAGCTATAAAAGTGTTTTGCTCAATGCCCCACACAGAACGAGCTTATTACAAGAGTTATCTTTGACTGGTAGCAGTAGTACTAGGTTCTCAACAAGATGGGTAATCTGAAGGTAAGGAGTCTTTTTTCCCCTATTAAAAAGGACTCCACCCATAAAAATGCTCCACCCAATAATACAGTTCAACATTCCAAATGCCAGGATGAGATACACGTAGTACAGAAAGGTAGTACTGAAATACAAATTATTTTTTTAAAAAAATCTTGGAAATATGTTTCTTCTAAAAGACACTATATTGGTTTTTTTTTAAAAAAAATAATGTTCCATATTCAGAATTATCGTGTTACCTTTTCTAGCATGTGTTTTCATCAGATGTCCAGAGTGTTTTAAAGGCACTCCTTGCATTTTAGTTCCTGTACTTCCAAGTCTTCCTCTTCCTAACGGGCTCCCATTCTGCTCCAAGCGGGCAATTTTGGCTGGTGGACCCTTCGGATCGCTTACATTGTTAGACATTTCTGAATGTTCTTTCCCCTGAGTTGTCTCGTTCAAATGATCCATACTCAGTCCCGCCTCTAAAGATCACCTGCCATGATTTAAAAAAATATATATGTGTTGTATACGCGTGCGTAGTTTTATGTAGGCAGCTTTACACATGTACATGATACATCTGTATAGCATGTTCACATAATATTAAATATGTATCTTAAGGAAAAATACACTCTCAGGAAATTTGCTTCATTGTCAAATTATCTCAAAATCTTAGGAATTTCTAAGCCTACTAAATACATTAACTGATTTACAGTATATACAGGATTTGTATCTTAAGAATTCAAGAGTGAGAATAGTAGGTGTGACTGATTAAGTAGCATTCACACAGTAATATACCCACTGCTATAGGTCTCTCAGGTGTATGTTGTAAGGTTATGCTTTTGCACCAAATTTCTTGCTTTATCAAAATATTTCTCTTTAATAAAGAGAAGCCGTATATTGTTTTCTCCTTAGGAATAAAGAGGATAAGACTTTCAGCTAGGCATGCAACAGATCAAACTAGTAATATGATACATCCATACGTATCTTTTAATATATAAAAATACCCAGGTTCCCATTGCTCAACAGTCTCTGGGAATTTCTTTTATGGAGCTTAACTTTTTAAACTTAGGAATTAGGTTGATCGACAACAAATAAAAAGATGTAGGTATGTGTTTTCCATATTCAACAGCAGAGTTAAGAAATGCTAGGGCAACTATCACATCTTATAAAAGTCACGTGGAGAAAACATGTCTCTTTGGACAATCACAACTTTTTGGGGAAATCATATTACAAACCTTTCAGCACTTAAAAGAAATCCCTGATACATTTTGGATAAATATTAGAACACTGATAAGAGATGTGAAATGAAATAACAAAACTACATACAACTTACAGTATATTCAGTACTGAAACAGACACCACTGCATTTGAAATTTTAATTCAGTTCACCATGATTGCTAATTCGTTTTTAAATCGCAATGTTCAATGATACACAGTAAAAGTTACAGATGAGTACTGTTAATACTGACATGTCACAGAGAGAGGGAAAGAAGCTGTTGACTCCTTTGAAAATGTGTGAAAGGTTTCGATGGTACTTTCATTCTGGATGAATACTTACTTTAAAATATGGTCTCTGCCACCTTTCCTAATTAAGGTTTATCTACAATGCCTGCTGTATTATATATATATAGCATGTTATAGCATATATATATACATACATACAGTATGATCTCTAAGAACAGGTGACCAGTCATTTATGAAACAGTACTTACACCACTGAGCATAAACACTCAAACATGGGGGCAGGGAAGGTACAATTAAATAGAAAGAAATAGACTTGTGAATACAGAATGCAGAATAAATCAATTACACTTCTCCAGTTCTGACGAAACCTTCATTTTGGTGAAGATGCTGTATATCCCTATTGTAATTTGTTTCTTGTTTAATCATACACTGCTTTGTCTTGCATGAACACTGTGTTTATCTGAAGGTTTAGATGCAACCTTAAGAATGCCAGCTGAATAACTATAAAGTTTAGAATATAATGGTTATTTATCCTTACACTCTAGGGTGACATGCTGAGAACCAAAGGTTTACCGTTGATTGTGGTCCCATCTGTTTTTGGTTATGAGTCTCATTAACAATAAATATGCCTACTTTAATCACTTTTTTTAATCAAGATTATTCTTTTTCATTACATTAACTGCTATTTAACCCAAAACTGCACATCTAAATTACCAACATCTATAGCATTTGGTAGTGCTTCACCAGAACACTTTGTCTGAGATTCTAGTTTTTCTCTTGTACTCAAACAGGCAAGTCCCTGTCACTCTCTAAAAACTAACACTCACCTGCTAGAAAGAATAGCCATCACAAGCCAGCTCGCCATTACCTCCTGCCCAACCAACAAAAGTGATAAGATTACCATTCATTTAATGTGTATTGCCTAAACACATGGAGCAGGTCGTTTTAAATTGGACTTTGAAGACCCGCCCACTATGCATCCTTTTAGCTCAGCCACCTTGTAAAAAGATTTGTGTCACAAAGCAAGATTGTGTGCACATAAAACACCTAATTTACTAATTTTGAACTCTATGCTAAAGTTCATCAAAACCTCCACCTGAAATAGTAATGAGCAACTGTCAGCATGGTTTGCCTATAACAACTCTGAAGATGACAGGGCCAAAAGCTTCTTCCTGTTTCACCTTCAAGCATTTGTTCTATGCACAAGTTTCCAGCACAAACATTAGTTTCAAGGTACAATTTCCTAAGTGCACTACTAACATAGCAATATGACATTCTAAGCATTTTTCTTCTAAAAAAATGGAACTCAGCTGTCAGAGCCATCCTTCCTCTAGGAGAATGGAGTATTGTATTATACCTTCAACACTTCGAGAGTTAGCCCCCTCCCCTTTCTTCTCTTTCCCCTCCTCCTCTCTCCAGATAAAACCCCTTAATCACATTTAAGAGAGGCTCTGTTCTTATCCATTCCATATGGCTGTCATAATCCAGGCCAAGCTTTCACTGTGACCTTTTAAAGAGACAAAGAAGCAAAACACTATCTAGAAACAGGAACACTGCAGTTTTGAGCGAAATTTTATAAAAAGACCTGAAACTCACCACTTCAAAACTTGACAGCATATAAATAATGGAAACAAAGGAGATTTCCTTTGCACACCGATCTCTTGAAGAGGAGGAAGAAGCTCAAGTCTGATGTTTTCTAAGTCCTTTTTTAATCAAAAAAAATTAAGGAAACCTGGAGGATACCTCCCTCCCAAAATTCTATTTTTCTGGGGAAGGGGAAACACATAAGCAAAGCATCACAGCCATGGGAGGGGGAGGCAAGAAGCGGGGAGGGGGGAGGAGGGCAGAGGTTCCAATTAATGTACTGAGAATCGTAGTCTCTCCAATAACGGGGAATGAAAAAGTCTAAAAAATTAACCAGACAAGTGTAATGCTCCCAATAATAAAAGTTTCTATTAAAGGAAAAGAAAAGTAAAACTGAGATAAGTGGTAACCTGTCTAACTCTGCTTTCAAAAAAAGTGTAAATCAGAGAATGAAGATGGGGAGGAAACGAAACAGCTCTTCTGCCTAATATTTCTGAAAACAGAAAATGTATTGATCTTGTCCCTTACAATTATTTTCTAATAAGACACAGGCACACAAAAAATACAGCTAAAGACATCCCTTCCCCCTTCCCCCCAAAAAACTAATCCAAAAACTTTCTGCATAAACCCTCCATAGAAAAAGAAACATAGCAAAAAACGTAAAAAGGATATTAGAAAAGTTCCAGTAAAGGCACTAAAATTCAGTTTCACTATTGTCCTTGCTGTTCGGGGTTTTTTTTTATAATCATCATCATAATAATGCAGAATGCCTCCCCTTCCTCATTAACCCAGAGAGATTGCGTTTGGGGGGGGAGGGAGGGGGGAGCGGAAGGAAACAGTCACCACCAAAAGTAAAAAAAAAAAAAAATCAAAAAAATCACTTCACTTCGGAGAATTAAAAAAAATAAAATAAAAAAATAAATCTACTTCCGAAGACTTAGGGAGAAACGAAAGCTGGGGAGAGAAGATGAGAGGAGGGTGCAAGAAGGGAAAATCAGGTTACCCCAAATAGTAATAACAAAATAAATCCTGTGAGCTTTCAAAATTCTTGTTGTCCCTCGGCTGGCTATTATGGTTATTTAGGCCGGTTTGGTGGTTGTTGCTGGATGTTACAGGGTGGTGTGCCTGCGTATTTGCGTGTGTGTGTGTGAGTGTGTGTCCCCCGGACGTTCGTTGCTTGCTTGCTTGCTCGCTCTCCCTCTCGCTCGCTCGCGCTCTCCCTCTCTCTCTCTGTCCCCATTAAATTATTAGTTGACTCATCACTCCTCCTCCTGCTCCTGCTGCTGCCGCCGCCGCCGCCGTCCCTTCTCCTGCTCCTTCCTCTATTGCTTTCTGCTCCTGCTGCCGCCGCCGCCGCCGCCGCTTCTTCCTCCTTCTCCTCCTCCTCATTTTAATACAAAATAACACCGAGGGCCACCGGCTTTTTCCCCCCTTTCTTTTTTTTTTTAAATATGTATACAGCCCAAGACAGGAGGAGGACGTAGCCTCCCTGCTGCTGCCTGGAGCTCTTCCCCGGCGGCCCCGGATCATCCGACGCGTCCTGGGAGGGAGAGAGAGACACAGAGACAAGCAGGAGGAGGAGGAGGTGGCGGCGGCGGCGGTGGAGTAAACTGGAGCGGGAGGGGGGGGTGGAAGGGAGAAAGGACATCTAGAAGGGGAATTGGATTAAAAAAGGGGGCTGGAGGGTTAAGGCTGAAGGGGGAGGGGGTTAAAAGTGAGGGGGGGAGAGAGAAAGAGAGAGAGAGGCAAAGGGAGGGGAAAAGAGAGAGCCGAGGGGTGTGCGATTTCCGGCACAGGGCGCGCAAGAATTTGTAATCAGCTTGATTAGTGTGAGGCGGCTGTGCATTTATTACACACAATACCCAGAATAACAGGGAGCAATGCGAAAACTGGGAGAGGGGAAGAGATGCCGCCGGCAGCTGCACGAGGCGAAAACGATTAGGGAGTGCGGAACGGGCTGGCGAGAGGGACAGGCCAAAAACAGAGGCGGCGGCAGAAGCGGAGGCCACCTTCCTTGCGCAACGAGAGAGGGCGCGCAGGGGTTGGAGAGTCTGTGGAGAGGGGAAGAGGAATCAAGGAGCCGGGGAAGGGAAAGCCAGGAACAGCAGGCGCTGCTAGAGTCTTGCAACCGTGCGATACACACACACACACACACACACACACACACACACACACACACAGCGCCTTCCCAACATCAGCCCGGTAGCAGCCATGACCTAAGCAGGAGAGGGCAAGGGCGCACGCACGCCCATCGGGTGCCAAAGGCGAAGGGAGGCAACTCCGGTAGCGCACTCAACAGACTTGGAAACAAAGTAGGAATCGGAAGAACGCGGGCATCTGTGCGGGCAGCGAGATCGCCGGGGACGGGGGGGGGGGGGAGAGAGGGAGAGCAGGTGCCTGCGAGGCATGGAAGCATATGG